TAGGATAATTTTCGGTCCAACTATAAAGCTGCAAATAGGCTAATATTTCAAAAAGCCACGTCGGATATCATACTTTTGCTTTCGATTCGCCATCATTTGCTAGCGTAAACCCAACCCACTAAATGCGCTGCTAGAAAATACAATTAAAAGCCGTCACTGACGGCGCTCGTCAGTAACCTGTGTTGTATGACAGTAATTACCCGACAGAACTTTGGATCAACGCCAGAGGCGTGCGTTATGTTACGGACAGATTGCTTGGAGACGGCGCGACTCATTACGTCCGTGTGCGTCATTTGGAATACCATGCTGGACGTGAATCCAACGTACAACGTCCAGTCACGCACAGTCACAGTGCTTTTTTGCCATGTGGGCTTGGTGAGCTTGTGGGTTATCGATTTGGTATGTGTCCGTGACTACGAATCGGTAGAGTGGCCACGCTAAATTGCGGAGCATGAGGACAAAGCATTGCTCGTTGCGTCAGCGGTAACACAAAATCGAAGGGAACGGGGAAAGACAATGGTTGAAGAAGATGCTCAGTGGCATGACACAGCATGCTGCTCTGCTGGGAATAATTACCATGCAACGTCAGCAAAGGAACAAACGAAACCACTCTGCCGTGCAACGGCAGAGTATACTGTATGTTTTTGGTACGTTTGGTTGTCTTTTGAAAAGAGTTAGCACAGCTATTTTTGCCGTGGCACGGATGGCGTCACAACAAAGTGGAAGAACACGTCGGCGTAACAACGACATGGCCGGTTGGCGGGCCACCAGCGCAAACAAGCAGTAACAACCTTTACATACACATGTTGTGCCATCGCATTTCAAGGCTACACTGTTGTCACTTGAGTACGCATAGCGCGTAATTTGCTCCTAAAATGAGAATGACGTCGAGTGGTTTGTATTGGTAGCAGCGGGCACTAGCCTTGGGTGGGTAGTTTTTCTTTGATAAGCATTGGAAATTTCTTCCGTCCCACGCTAACAGTTGTCAAGATAGCGCATCGCATGAACAAGGGCTGATTTTGCAGCTGAAATAAATGGAGATAACTGCCTGCCACTTCTAGAAGGAAACCTTACAATCCCCTGAAACATACGCTCGAATGCTGTACGCCCGCCTGCAACGATCAGCCCGATATATGACACTTGACATTGAATGTGATGACCTGTGACCTTTTTGCGTTGAGTAGGGCCCTGGACCCACCTGTCGCAGTGAACTGATCCAGGGCAGGACCTCGTGATCCGTGAGGTGTTTCTACGGCTAGGTAAGCTCCATTTTTGGACTCATCGTCTTCCAAGCATTAGGGCCGGCCTGACCAGCATGGCTCACCAGATGACCTCACGGGTCAGAGCCCGGGAATCACTGGTTTCTTCAGCACCCCGTTACCCGCCGTTCGCGGTTCCTTTTCGTACTTTCCGTTAAAATTGGGGCCAACGGAGTGCTAGCCATAGCCGGAGTACTGGCCGTGCCAGCTTGCAACAGTTCCGGCCGGGCGTGTCAAACTTGCATGACGACACGCATGTCAGTTGGGCAGAATAGATTCAGACTGCTCTGCAAGTGATTTCACGGGACTTAAGTGGCTAGTATCGGGGAGACAATGAAGTATTCACATTCGAACATTCTGTCAAAAAGTATACATTTTGGGCTTGTTTTTCCAATTAAATAAGAAATTGTACGGAATATTGGTAGCATGCTTCGGAAAATATTTCGATACTGATCTCGATTTGTTACCATCCACTATAATTTACGACTCAATCACCTGATAAAATGTGCTTATTCCGACTAAACAAGGCGTCCATCCTGCCGGCCGAGGTCAAGGCCAAGGGGAACCGTCGGGAAGGTCAAAATAGGACAGCATTGACGCCAGCGCCCTTTTTTATATCAGGCGCGATGCGCACAATTTCTACAGTGCTGTCGATGAGGCAGTTACCTTCACATATTGCCTCTGATCGTAATGACACCAGTCAAGTATAAAGTGTATCACATTCACCATTTACACCTGAAGATATCTCACATCCAGAGACTCGACTAGGATAACAGACATCCATCACTTCGCTCGCGCTGCACTGCAACAGCTGCACATGATCACACAGGCAACGAGACCGGAGTGACGCACGCTCCGCATCACGAGCGCTCCTCCAGCAGATTCCTGCCATCTATGAGCGCAGCGAGGAAGCTCAGCTTGTCGGCCGGGTCCGCCAGAGCCATACTGTTCCAGTGGTGCGGGTGGACGACCCGCACCGTAAAGCCGAGCATCTCCAGGTGGCGCTGCCGCAGCAGCTGCGGTCCCGTCAGCTGGGCTGTGTTGATGCATAGTGGCTGGTGGAGGGCACCAGCACGGCGACACTGCAGCACACCGCGGGCCCACGGTCAATGGCAGCATCGAAACGGCCACGAGGCCAGCCCAGCCCGTCGACATCCGTGGGTTCGGGCTCGAGCCCACCCCCCCCCCCCCCCCCGCCACCTCACTGTTCCCGCTGCGAGGTGACCCGCACCTCCAGCCCCGAGTTGCGAAGGCTCCCAAGGCAGCCCACCTCAGTGTACTTTGGCTCCCGCACATGATGCGTATAACTGAGTTGCCCGTCCACCAACGCTTGGAGACTGTTTTAGGCAGACGTGCTAAAAAAGAAACGACTGAACTCTATCTCGAACGCCGTCAAGCACAACAGCCGTAAGACCACCGTGGCCTGATGCGAGTTCTGTCGTGTTTACCCGGCTGCGCTGTACTCCTCGACAGGGTGCGCATGCGCGCTGGCCGGCACGGCCACGCGCCTCGCCGTGCCGTGGTGGGTGTGGACGGTGTTTGGCCGGCCCGCTCGGCCACCCACCTGGTGACGCGCGGCCCGTCGGCGTCGGTGAAGGAGCCGTCCGGCCGCCGGTGCAGCACCAGGTCGGCCGTGAACTGGTAGCCGGCCGTGCGCACGCCGCTGTGCACCAGCCGCTCGTCGCCGACCAGCTGCGCCAGCGTGCCGTGCACCTCGGCCAGCAGCTGCCGGTGCCGCGCGTCCGTGTGCAGGTCTGACGGTGACCGGCGGGATGGTCAGTCAGTCAGGGTCACCCAGCAGGGGCTGTAGGTGTCAGGGCCAGCGGGCTGAGAGCAGTGGGCTGTAAGGGGTCAGGTCAGGGGTCGAGGGTTAGAAGTCAGAGCCAGTGGGCTGAGAGCAGCGGGCTGTGGGGGGTCAGGTCGGCAGCGAGCTGAGAGCAGCGATTACAGGTCACCAGCGGGCAGACCCGTCATCAGAGGGCGCACGGACCGGGAACAGAGGTCAGACGGGCGCCGGGATCGGGCCAGAGATCAGGGCGGAGGACGTATCACCACGGATTAGAGCAAAACACGGGTCAGAGGAGAGGCCAGCGCTGCGGCCACCACACGCAGGCGCCCGAAGAACACTAACACCATCCCACTCAGGCGCCAGCAACGCTGCGCCTCATATGTGACGCGTCAGCGCACCAGAACAGCAGGTGGCCCGAACACCGCTCCACACATCCCCAGATGAAGTGGTTACCCCACGCTGAGCAGCCCGTCCGGTGCTGCACACTGCGCGAACGTGGCGTCAAAGGTCTGCTCCGTGCACTGGCTGTCGCGCGTGCAGCGCATAAAGCAGCAACCCTTAAAACACTAGCGATGGCAGGCTCGTTAATGGGTGGTGTCGGCACGAAGGCTTCGTCCGCCGTCCACATCCCAAACACCGAAACAGTCGACCGCCTCGGCCAACTGGGGTCTACTTTGCTGTATTCATATACAGCATGGAAGTCCATGATGATTTTCATAAAAAACATGTAAATGATACAAAAATAGCTAAATAAAATACAGATATATCATGTCGTTTCAAGCGTTAATATAATGGCGTAATACAATATAGCAAATACATAACTAATAAATCGAATGCATGACAAATGTTCGGAAAAACTTATATGACACCCAATATAAAACAGTGACTACGGCTTTGTGCGCCGGGGTGTAGCATCTCTATGAAGGGGGCGGAAACGGCGCGATGTTTTGTTTTAACCCGGTGGCTCGGTTTGGAGGTCACCGGCACCGGTCGTAATGACAGTGAAGGTGATTTTTGACAAACAATGGAGGTGCGGACGGTTCTTGGCAAATACCTTACGGTTGTTTCCAAGCATCTGAAAATGACAATAATGGCAGCTCATTGAAAACCCGCCAGCTGTTAAAAAGATTACTATCACCTTATAAGGCACTTGGTCGCTGCGACCCAGCCATTTGAAGTAAAAAATTGACACAGGTACGTTAATGTAAGTAGATACGGTGCATGACACCTCTGTAATATATGTTTGCGTTCCACGATGGTCCTGCGTAAGTCGGATGACATGCGAGCGACTGCTGATCCAGCCGCCTCAGCCGGTGGTTTTTTTAACACGGCCCCAGGAGTGGCCCTAACCTTCTAACTTAAAAGCTTGTACGGCTGTGTAAGTCTTGTTACTTGTACGAGTAGGCTTGCAAGTTAGGGTCTGAACAACAGACATTTACGTGGAAATTTTTTAATGTCTTCTTTCTAAGCTTTCTGACTTGCAACCATAAGACAGCGAAAGCTACCATCACCACCATTACAACAATTTAACAACATTCACACACTCAAAATGGCGAAGCCCCAGCCCCACGCTAATCCGGTTGTGGTTAGTACAAGACACTAAACAAGTAACAAGAACAAGTCCGAGGCACTGACAATATCGTCACCGTTACCGGAGGTGTCTGTGTACTTGTCCCAGGAAGAGGTCAGAGGTAAGGTCAGAGGTCCCAGGAGGGTCAGCCGGGACGCCGGCCGTCCGTCCCCTCTCACCGGGCAGGCCCTCCAGCGAGAGCCGCGCCCGAACTCCAAGGGAAGATCACCCCAGGACGCCGTTGGTCCGTCCCTTCTCACCCGGCAGGCCTCTGGCGTAGACGTCAGTGAACCAGGGCACGTTCTGGTCGGGCATGTTGAGCCGTATCGCCCTGTTGACCTCCATCTGCAGACGGACGCAGGCTGCTTCCTGCGCCGGCGGGTCAGCCGGTCCCCTCGGCGGCCGTCGCCCGAGCTAGGGTCTGCCGGACGGACACCGGCCGGCTGACACTCTCGCTGCCTCGCTCTCCAGGATTGCCTGCCCACCCGGCGGTACATGGCGGGCTTCGCGAGACGCCAGTCTCAAGCACCCACCCCTTCGTTCTTCACGGAAAGCAATTTTCGCCGGCGCCAAACGGCAACCACACAAGCCACTTGGTAGGCGCCTGCACAGCGCGGCGTAAGAACATTTCTCTCCGCCCCCGTGACTTGTCTGAGCTACACAGCAGGGAGACGGGCCAGTCCAGGAGGCCGGCCGCAGCCGGCTGCCCCGGGGCGGACGTACGGTCAGCTCGGAGAGGTTCCTGATCTGGCGCTCCGTCTTGTGGAGGAAGGCCTGGCCCAGCACGGTGCGGGCCAGGTGGGCCGGCAGCTGGCCGTACAGACAGAGCGCCTGGCACGCCCGCAGGGTGCGTCCCGCCGGCATCGGTAGATGCTCCTGGGGGCGAGGCGCGAGGGCACGCGTTCAGCGGCGTGCCCGCAGAGGCCGGCGCGGAAGCCAGCAGGTCCTGACTAACAGATCAGTCACCCGGCCGGCCTGACAGGCCAACATGCCGTGCGCGACACGACCTCTACCGCGCACATCTCCGAGGGAAGACCCCCCCCCCCCCCCTCCACCCGGAGCCCAGTCCACCGGTCGTCAGCAGCAGCGGTCCCCCCACAGCACCCACAGCGGCACCGGCCGCGGAGAGTGTGGCGCTCCAGCCTGCGGAGGCGTCATCTCTTACCGGGGAGACGACGGTCGGCGGCCGACACCAGGAAGTCCTCGAACGCCGGGCTGTCGGACGGCCAGTAGCCGGTGCTGAAGGCCGCCGACAGCACGCGCTCGGCCACCACGCCTGCCACGTGCTCCCGGTGCTGCACCACGTGTCTGGCGGGGCGCCGGGCGGCGTAGGGCCGCTGTCAGACCGCGGGGACAGCACATACGCGACGGAGAGGGCACACCGGGCTGCCGGCGCTCCCCGAGCACCGAGCCCGCCCCAGGCATGGGCCCCAGTCGGCTGGGGTCAGCCAGCAAACCGGCGGAGCGGACAGGCCTGGCTCGAGGCCCCACGGCTCCATCGGCGCAGACCAAACCAAGCGCCGCTCTCAGCTGGCTGGCGAGACGACCGAGCGCGCCCAGCCTGCCGCGTTGCTCAGACGAAGCCGCGGCAGCTGACACCGGGCACCGGTCAGACGGAATGACACGGGGCGACGGCCAGACGGACTGACACCGGGCGACAGTCAGGCGGGCAACCGTCAGACGGTCTGACACCGGGATAAGGTCAAACGGTCTGACACCGGGCGACGGCCAGACGGACTGACACCGGGCGACGGCCAGACGGACTGACACCGGGCGACGGCCAGACGGACTGACACCGGGCGACGGCCAGACGGACTGACACCGGGCGACGGTCAGACGGACTGACACGGGGTGACGGCCAGACAGACTGACACCGGGCGACGGTCAGACAGACTGATACCAGGCGACGGCCAGACGGACCGACACCGGGCGAAGGTCGGGCGGACTGACATCGAGCGACGGTCAGACGGGTGACGGTCAGACAGACTGACACCGGGCGACGATCAGACTGAGTAACTGGATTGGACTGCAAACGGTCAGACAGACTGATACCGGGCGACGGTCAGACGGACCGACACCGGGCGACGGTCAGACGGACTGACACCGGGCGACGGTCAGACGGACCGGCACCGGGCGACGGTCAGACGGACTGATACCGGGCGACATCCTGGCACCGGGCGCCAGCCTGACTGACGGCGTGGGACGGTCGCCCAGAGCGAGCGCAGTGCGCCTGACGGCCGCGGCTCACCGGCACAGGTGGTCCAGGGCGGCCGCGTCCCGGTACAGCACGCCGGCCAGACAGCCGGCCAGCACCTCGGCCGCCTGCGAGGTCAGCTGGCCCGTGCACAATTCAGGAGATGACACCAGCTGATTGAAGCGCGCCACCACGGCGTCCAGCACAGCCACGTCTCCGCGGAGCACGCCGCGGCGCTGCAAGGTACTCTGGGCCAGCCAGATGACCGAGTCTGCCGGCAGGTAAGGTCAGGTCAGGTCACGATACCCCCCTGCAAGATACTCTGGGCCCGCAATACGGGTCAGCTCGTCGAACCCCTATGACACAAGCGACGATCATCAGATCTTGGCCAGCGCTCCAAGTACTCGCTATGAAATATAACGAATATTCGCGCAACCAATTGCAACAACATGGGTTCTTCATTAACAATAGAGGTGGACATTTTGCAAAATCGTTGATTTCTTACAGCACGGTCCGTATTACAGCCCCAACACACGGTAATAGGGTTGGACCTCCATTCCACCCACTCGTATGACAGAATCCCGGATGGATCGTGGACGCCTACCCGAAGGAACTAGCATCTCTCCATCTCACCGACAGATGTCAGTGTCGGCAGGAGGCGGAGCGTGACGCCGTTGAGCGCGATCGTCAGCTGCGTCAGCTGGTGCAGGTACTCGTCGGCGGGCGGCTCGGGTTCGCCCTGCACCCGCAGCCGACCGATGCCGACCTGGGTGTAACACACGCCGGTCCCGTGAGGCGGCGCGCCGCCCGGCGCCGACCCCGGCCGGGCGCCAGCGCTGCCCGCGGACGGACAGGTAGTGCGGCGCTCTTGCGGGCCTCCAGCGACCTCGCCAATTAAAAGCGAAACATCCGGAACAGGCACATCTCATCTAGTAAGACTCTAACCAGAATGCAGCCGCTCGGAACATGTTGACAATGAAATCTTTGCTTAGTACGGTTTTGACTGTCAAACTGACCCAACATAGCATATTACAACCGAGGGTCTCCTGCCAGCTCGGCTTGGCGACTTCAAGCCTGCTGTCAGAGCCTCGGAGCTGCCCGTCTCCCGTCAGCACAGCGGTTCAGGCGGGGGAGCGCCGCCGCCGCCGCCGCCGCCGCTCACAGTCGCTCACCGCCTTCGAGAGCCAGCGCAGAACGGAGACCGTCAGCTGGTCGCGCTCGGCCAGTCGCTGCAGGTGCGCCACCACGCCGGCCGGCACCTGGCGCGGACAGAACGCCACCAGGAACGCCGCCACGTGCGCTCTTTGGTACGTGCTGGGGAGGGGCGCGTCGCGCAGCTGCGCCTCGAGCCGCGCCAGCAGGGCCGCCTCGAGCGCGGCGCCCCGGCAGCCGGGGTGGCGCTCCAGCGGACGGTGGCCCAGGTAGAGGAAGGCGATGTCCCGCGACAGGCGGTCCGTCTCCTCCGGCGTGCTCGGCTGCCGGCGACGCGCGCCACGCGCCGGTCACCAGTCCAGACGAGTCAGCCCGTGTGGAGAGCAGCAGGCCGGCGTGGGCCGGGACAGACGGCCGGCTCACGGGACAGGGACGGGGTCCGAACTCGAGCCGCCAACCCAGTTACGGTCTCGCAAAAAAAAAAACGGACTGCAGAGCACGACACGGCGAGTTGTGTTACTCCCGCTTGCGCAAGGAACGACGCAAACCCTAGATAATCTGCGTGAAACGAGAGCACACAATTGCTATACGTTTCACCCTGTGTTTTAACCATGGATGTTACCAATGAGGGGGGGGGGGAGACGTTTTCACTCTAAATAAAAAAAACGGATTTCGTCTCACGAATTTCGACCGTAGAATGCAAGTATCCCCGTCTTCCTCATTCAAAATGTCCGCTTCAGCTAAGGTTGACTGTAGATTTCAGTTTAAACCCCCTAATCCCGACGCGCATTCCTCCCCTCCCAAAGGAGAAATTACACCCATGCTGCGTCCATCACCTCACACCTAATGATTGGGCGATGAACGGAGGTCTTCAACAGCTCAGCACGTTGTTATAGCGTCAGACACATGCGTGCCACCATCTAACCAGCACAGCGCTGACCTGCTGAATGAGCCCGGAGGCACCAGATCCCACAGCGACTGGTGCTCGGCCGGACGCACGGGTCGCAGGTCGTTCAGAAGGCGCTGGACGAACTCGATGTCATGGATGAAGGTCCACCGAGAGTTCTCATCCTCCAGAACCCCGGGAATGGAAGGTTCTCATTTAGAGACTTAAGTTGACCCCTGAAACAGGCATCAACAGTGTTACCCCTGACGACATTGGAGCAGCATACTGAGCCCCATAACGTGAAACGGAAGACCATAACACTGATCCCAAGACAAGGACACAGTCCAAAGCGTTGCCCTCATGGCTCAATGAGCCGAACTGAAAATTATCCCAATGCACATATTCACTCCCGAGCATTGCCCTCGGTTATATGGGCGTGCCTAAAACAACGTCCACTGGACGGCGGATCGGCTTTTCACCATGGATCCAATCCGAACAATTCGGTCAGCGCCAGCCGGCAGGTGTTGGCGCGTCCTGTGCCGCCTCTCACCGGATCGTGTCGACGAGGTTCTGCTGGAGCCAGCCGGGCAGTATGCGGTGCGGCGCCGCCGTGAACACCAGCCAGATATCCTGGCGCGTGCGCGGCCGGTCGGGGTCCACCAGGGCGGCGGCCCGCTCGGCTAGCAGCCGCTCCACGGCCGGCGTCGCCTCGCGGCACGTGAACACGGCCTGGCCGAGACGCGCCGTGGCGGCCGGCGGCGGGCGCGGTTCAGCACGCACGTACAGCGACACCAAGTGTCGGCAGACGGGCGACAGCCAGCGGCGCAGCTCGGGTCGGCTCAGCACGCGCAGCAGCTTCAGCAGCGCCGCCGTGTCCTCCGGCTGCGCATCCACGTGCAGCGCGAACCGGTGCACGAGCGACATGAAGCGTCGCTCCGCCTCGGCCGACAGGTAGCGGCGCGCGCTGGCGAAGGCCGTGGTCACCAGGCTGAGCTCGTGCCACGAGCCGCAGGCGGCCGTGTGCGCCGTGAGGGCGCGCAGGTAGGGCAGCACGAGCCGCGGCGGCCAGACCGGCCACAGGTGCACGCTCGCCCCCAGCCGGCTGAAGGCGGCCAACGGGAGGTCGGGCAGCCGGCGCAGGGAACACTCGAACAGCCGGCGCACGGTCGCGTCCGAGCGGGGAGCGCCCAGCCGGCCCAGGCTGAAAAGAGGTGCACCGTTACCAGCCCAGCAAGGACGGGTTAGGTCGGTGGGTCGAGGCTTGGCTGGCCCTTGGTTTCGCATTCTGTTTGATCGCGCACAGACGGTGATCACAGAAAGTCCGCCCCAGTGGCCAGTACAGGGGGCAGACCTCCCCCAAACAGTGGCACGAGGTCGGCCCCACTGACCAGTACAGGGAGCAGACTATCCCCAGACAGTGACGCGAGGTCGGCCCCACTGACCAGTAGAGTGAGCAGACGAGGCCCAGGTCGTCGCAGTCGTCGGCCCGCTCCAGCAGGGCCGTCTTCAGGCGGCGGACGTCGTCTGCAGGTGGCCGGCTTGGACCCTTCTGCAGCTTGTGCACGTCCCACAGTGTCGCCATGGCCTGACAGAGATGGCGCGGCTCGAGCGAATCGCCCAGCGCGGCGAACACCTCCTCCGCCGTCGACACCCTGGCGGCCGGCACGGAAACCACTGTCGACCAGCGGCGGCGGTGGGACGGCCGGGGCGCCTCGTCACCGCCGTCAGCCTGGTAGCGACGATCGGCCCGCGCCAGGTCCTCGGCAATCACGGCCACGCAGGCATTCCGAAGGTGACCAATGTTCAACAACATGTTCGCGCCACGCAACACCATGTTCGCACGTACTGTTTACTCTCCCCAACAGACGCAATGTCTTGTTCCACTGGTTCAAACAATGCGTACGCTAGTGACAATCTCAGGTATATGTAGCTGCGCCTTAGTCCACCCCTGCAGGACACTCGACAATATATCTGGTCAGCCTTACCAAGAAACCAATGGGGGGGGGGGGGGAGGATGGACACTGAGAATGGAAGCGACGTCCTTACAATATATCGAAATCATTACGCACAGGCCCGCTGCCACCAGAGACTAAAAAGTGTGCCAAAACAGATCCAATGCCTTTGAAATACCCAGGCGTCTCCCGCAGATGAGGCATCTATCCATATAACCCAGCACGCGTCGAAACGTTCCGAACAGTGACCGGCACTTCACAGAACCAGCATGATCGGTGTGATGTGATAGGAGCAGCCGAACACTGGTCAGTGTAGTACAGTGGCCTTGCTCACCTGGCCAGCGCCTTCAGCACGTGGTCATCAGTGTCTGGGTAGAGGTGGACGCGGACCGAGTCCAGCTCGTCTGCCTCATCAAGCAGGCTGGATGACTCGTCCGGCTCATTGCCGGAAAATGGCCGCGACAGCGGGCTCGCGACGGCCGGCAGTCGGCCAGACCGCACGTGGCCACGTGGGTGGCCTACCATCCAGCAGAGGGATGAAATGATCAGACAGGGCTACAGGACATGACACTTCATCATAAGCCAGAAATACAGCCACCTATTGTGCCTGAATGGGCTAGAATGTCATTTTCCTGCATGAAATCTACGAAACAACAAATCATCCATCATCCATCCATCCATTTTGTATTATGTATGTGAGGCCTGATCATGCCCAGTGTGTGTGCATGCTTTGTGAACCAGATTCAATGATCCTGTCAACCAGTTCAGTTTGGTCATTAAGTGGAGTTGTGTGGTAGGCTGCTATTACAGTTGAATAGCATGTTATACTCAGTTTGATGCTTTACTACTTCAATTTTCAAGACCAACAGTGGTAGCATGACAATGTAGGCCAAGAGTTATATCTGATGCCTGGATTTTCTGCCTGCTGTACAAACATACATATATATATATATATATATATATATATATATATATATATATATATAGTATATATATATATATATATATATTTATATTTATATATATATACATATTTACACACACATATATATATATATATATATATATATATATATATATATATATAAATATACATACATGCATGTATATATATACAGTTCAGATTTAGTTTGTGTAATTACAGGCATGTATATGCCTTTCGCATGCAATGCCCATGGCTGAGCACAACAAAGTGCATGAAGATCACAAGACCCAGTCATTGTCTTATGGGCAGAGTGTGAATAGGTGCTAATTTTCACAAGCTTAAACAATCACATTTCCAATTTTGTTGGTGTCAAGGTTGGATTCATGTGCATTGCATTTAGGTGCAGAGTATTAAGCTGATGCATATTACTCAAACAGCAAACAGCCTTTTGGTGTTAATATCATGAGCATAACATTGTGTTCAACTGAGTTCAGGGTGACAAGAATACAGCTGGGGGGATGTAGAAATTTCACAATTTGATGTGTTCAATAACCAAGGACAAGGAAAGCCATGCATTTATTGACATTCATTTCTCGGTAGTGTTAGGATCCCAATATTCCTCACCATCCCAAAGTTTTCCTTGGATGTTGACTGAAGATATATGCCTGATATACGAACTACGAGCAAGGCAAAATCTGGGCCTATACCTGAGGAATAAACGAATTATGTGAAAATTGTTGCTAGGTCTCATTACGCCCCAACGACGATGCCACCGGTCATACACGCGCTACCCTTCGACCCTTGCGGTACCCTTGCAAACGAGCACGCGCCATTTGTTGTCTTACATGCGTATATTATGTCGCATCAGAGCCTGTGCGATATAGGATCGTTGTGTTAACATCTTTGCATCAAACAACCAATTGGAATACACTCCTTACTGTAGAGTGCTATGAAACCGCTGTGAATGCTGTTGATAACAAAAGCGCGTATGCGTAAACAGACTTCCGTTGATGACGTCTTCTTTCATATCATGAGACAAAAAGTACACTTTTACCGATTTGCTTCCAATATATGCCGTCTGTTTGATCTTGACGCGTTCTAGCTAACCATCGTGTGCATGGTGTCGTTTCCACTTGCTGTCTCTCGAGGATGGGTAGGTGCGCTCGCGGGCGTCGTGCCATGGGACACAATGAGCGATTTCTGGGTGCCAGCTTGGACTGTCTCCGTTGTCCGGCTGGCGCAGACAGTAGGAATGGCAGACGTCCTGTAGCTGAGTGGTTGCGGAGGGTATTGAAGCCGTCAAATGCATCCGGCCGAACATAAAAACTCGCGAAGTGTTTCATCATTTCAGATGCCCCTGGTGTGGCACGCAAAAACAAAATGGTGCTACTACCCGCTGTACCAGCAACCTCAGGCCTGACCATCCATCGAGTAGTGACCGGTCACTGCACATTATTAAATACGTTGAGCGAGAGACGACCGGGGACGGAGACGCCGTCTTCCTGACTGGCTGGGCGCAGCGAGGGCGCTAGTATGCAGGTTTAGCGCTGAAAAGGCGCTCTGGACCTGAAAATACGCGCATCGTGAATGGAAGGGCACCCTAAGGGTTGATAAGGTTCCCCTCAAGCCTGAGACTGTGTCCAAATGCCGATAGCGCGCCTCTGAGCTGAAAATGGGACTTTCAGATCACGAACAACATTCTCAAATCGACGACATGCCACTTAGGCTGAGTGCACCCCCAGACTTGAAGACGCATCAGTGGCTTGAATGATCGCCCCAAGACCAGAAGTGCGCCCGAGAGGCTTAAAAGGTTAACAGGTAAAAGGTTAAAACATTCGCGTCGGGGATGCTCAGAGACGTGAGGAGTTTCGCCAGAGTCGGACGAATGGTGATCAGCGTGATGTGCTTTTATCTATGTTCTCTAAAATTGGGCGATCATAAAAATATACCAAATTGCGCATGGCACGTGACCTGGCGCGTACAGATGCGACAACCGGCGCAGCGTGAGAGCCTCTACACTCCCGCTCCTCAGCCGGGAGGGATCGCCGCAGGAGCTCGGATCTCAGTCTCGGTTCGCGAGGCTCCGCAGGTCCCGGAGCACGTAAAACTGTCAGTTCGCTGTGTTGCGGTGGAGTGATTAAACCGCAAAGTGACATGCGCCTTATCGCGGGTGCCGTCGGGTCTGCCGGTGGAGCCCCACCTCCTGCAGGAGCGCCGGCTTCCTTCCCACCCGGCTGCAGGCGTCGCGCCACTGTGCCGATCGCCTCCGCGCGCGCCGCTGGACGCAGTGCCGGTGCCGTCAGCGCCGGCGTCAAACGTTGGGATGTCGAGACGCGCCACGGGCGAGCCGCTCTGTCCGTGCCGGCTTGGGGCCCAGGTCACATGGACCGGGTCGGGTTTGGCGTCCCGGGTCACGGGGATCGGGCTGGGCTCGCCGCTCCAGACCACGTGGACGGGCCGGCGGGGCCTGGTCACAACTACTGGTGGATGACAGCCGACCAGGGATTTGGTATGGGAAGAGCGTTTCCAGAAACCGGACGTGACTGCGGTCTTGAAAACATTCGCCTTGATTCACGCAAACCCAATTGTTGGGTCGAGGCGGTATCATAAACTTGCCACAGAGATAGAGTCAGCGATTTTATTAAAAACACCTGATTAAATACGTAAAACAATGCATCACAAACACTCGAACACGTTGATATAGCGTTTCTACGAACGAAGTGGGTGAAGCACATGGTCCTATAGTAGCGGGTCTGGCTATGTAATCACCTTCAGTTGAAGCCCCGCCGTACCTTGGAACGGAGCTACCGAGAGTAGGTATGACCTTCACAAGACAGCAGTCACATCACAAGAGAGGTGCCCGGCCGCCACGTCCGACGGCGTCGGCCGGCAATGCGGTCATTTTGCCACATATAGGTAATACAAACGCACAGAGATCAATCAATAAATAAGCGTGCGGTAACACCAGCGGGACGTTACGATGAAGCACCAGCGTAGTATACACAAAGGCAGCCGGCCCTGTGACCGGGCAGTGTTATCCGTCGGATCAGCAGCCCGTACCCCAGAGACCGACGGCCGTCGGCGTGGCAGGGTCTATGCTCTACCTCCCGCGCTTGCGGAAGGCATCGTGCTTGCGGTGACGTTAGGGATTAGCGAAACTGCTAATAGGGAAGCCACACGTCACCGACGCGGAACATTTTGCCGGTATAAATGAGAAGGCATAGAGAGGGAAAATCCAGCAGTGTGACAGGAACGCGCGGTACACACTAGATCTGACAACATCGGTCCATTCGGTTGGCCTACGGTGAAGGACTGAGGTAATGCAACACGTTCTGGACACTTCACTATATCAATACTCGTACGTCGGCCCAGACACAAACCACTTGAGCCCATTATCATCATCGGGAACCTTCGGGCACGTCCCTGAACGTAAACCATGCAACGAGCGGTCAGTGAAGAGCGATGATCTTCGCATGCGGGTTGTAAATTTGACCACAATTTCCTTCTAATATATATATATATATATATATATATATATATATATATATATATATATATACTTACATGTTCATGACGAAGAAGCTCAATGGAATAGGCAAATCAGACCAGACACTCAACTTTACACCCACGTACGCTAATTTCTATACAAATCAAGTGTACATGTAAACCTACTTTGTGCTCACGCACCTTTGTGTGCAAGTGTTAACCATGAATTGCCGCTGTAAATTTCACCGAATTGGTTGAAGCTACTTGTCAGGAGCATGTGCAGCTGCTTTTCAGGAACTCGTTCTGTGGATTGCATGTACAATGTATGACTTTAACAACAGCAGTTTTGTCGACGCCTTCGATAAGCCAGGCAACTCGCGGCCAAAAAATTCCGTGTTGACTTCTGATATTGTTCAGTCAGTCCAGAGGCTGAGCTGGCGGCGAGGTCGACTGGAATGAGTCATCGGCCAGCTGGTCGTTTGAAATGTATGCAATGCACAAGGATTTGCAAGCGAGCGACATCTATGAAGCATCCGTTTAAGCAGCAGCATCCCACAGACATGGTCCAATGACGTCTGGCACTTTGCCGGAGGCAAAGCTCTGAACCAGCCGTCAGGCCTGGCCAAGTCGAGGCGGAGCAAACAGCACACGAGCTTTCGTATCACAGGCGCCGACGTTAAGGTCCATGACACGTCAGATAGTCAACAATTCCTACGACTCATTTTGTAGCCAGAGCTCAAACCTGAACAGATTTTGAAATGATATGTCGTATGTCACGTGGACGTGATAAATAGGATGAAAAAATAGCAGTGTGCCTCGCAGGACAAGAAGCCCAGAGTTCATAGAGCTGGCAGTACTGGGACAAGGCACGGCCAGTACCGGCGATTACGCGTTGACGAAAATGTGGTTGTGCCAATACCTACTGGTATGTTTCATACTGGAATAAGCGCAACAATCTGTTGAATACCCCACAGGACGTATGATGCAACATTTTCAGTGTCTGATAACGAAAGCAAGAACCACAATTTGCATTAAAACAACTCGTAGACTTCTGCACGCTTTGACTGAAATCCCAGCTGGAATCCAGCCGTCGGTGTGGCGATGTGCCAGACCATTGCAAGGACAGGCTGGCTTTCAGCTTTCCACGCCATACAACAGCACTGGGATCTCGACGTGGCATAGCGGTGCAAACCTCTCGTGAGGAGCTGGGGCGACATCCACTTCTAGTGAGGCTCGAGACCACTTCAGCTAACATTTGTTTGTTGCTGACCGCGATGTTTGGATGTGCCGCCTACTTATATCACGCTGCTTCGCTTTGTTTCGCGACCAGCCATTTTCGTTTTCATTGTTTCTACGCCGAAAGAAAGCATCTATTGGCTAGCAGGCACTTAGTTACACGGCGGGTTTGCATTACGCAGCACGGGTGAAAACGTAAACTACTGTTAAAAACCAAAACGCACTGCTTTGTCTCATCCGGGTTAATCTGTGCCGGCCCGTTGTTCCCATACATTCCAAGGGAGGTCCAACTGTCGACGCCTGTTTCTTTTTGGAAGGTGTCCCGACGCGCGCGCATGCCCTATGACGCACGAAGTCGCGCTAAAGTTGGCAACGGCTGTCCCGCGGCCGGGATCATCTCTTGCGCGGTGATATCCCTCGCTCGTGAGGTGCGCTGGTAGGATTTTTGTCTCTCTCAGACTGAAGCCGAGCGTGGGATTTCTTGTCTCACGCAGCGCTAAGCCTCTGGGATGCAAACTCAACTACGGAGCGGCATTTTGGGCCAGCACCTGATAGACACGTCACAGCAACGAGGTTCGTAAATCTTACGCGAGTTGAGTAACGTAGAGGCTGCGACGTCGTGATTCACTCCGCTTAAGAAGACTGAAGGGCACATTGTCTCTCACTTACCGCGCGGGAATCCCGACTGGTCTAAGGAGCAATTTCGGCGTTTCAAGAGTCAGTGACGCGACCCTTGCCGAGAAGCACCTACACAAAGCTGACTCTCAGTGCGTTGCGCGTGACGGTCCGTCGGCGCCTGGGACCGTCTCAGGCGGTGCCTCCCTGAGACCTGGCGGCGGCGCGCTGTGTCGAGCTGCTGTCGGAGGTCTCGCCGTCTGCGCTGCTCAGCGAGAGCCGGCGCTGCTCGCGCTCCGTGGAGTCGGCGTGACGCTCCTTGGTCCTGGAGCCCGGACTCGACAGGCGCCCCTGCTCGGCGTCCCTGAAGGGCGTCACAGGGCTGTCCGGGGTCATGCGCAACTCGTTCTGGAAGTAGCTGTGTTCCGAGTCCCTGAAGTTGGCCAGAGAGCTGTTGGGGAACCTGGGAGTCGCGTTCTTGAAATTGCCGTGTTCAGCGCCTCTGAAGTTTGACAGGTGATTGTCCGGAACTCTGGAGGCTGTGTTCGTCTGGTGCCCGAGCTCAGAGTCCCTAAATCCCGTCAGATGGCGCTGCTCTGCGTCTCTGAAGCTCTTCAGGTGGTGTTCCCCGTTCCTGGGGGCTGGACTCGTCAGGTTTCTGTGCCCCGCGTCTTTGAGGTTCGTCAGATGCCGCTGCTCCGCGTCCCTGGAGGTCGGACTCGTCAGATGTCTGTGCTCTGTGTCTCTGAAGTTGGTCAGATGCCGCTGCTCGGCGTTCCTGGCGGCGGGACTGGCGAGACGCTGCTGCTCGCCGTTGTGCCGCTCGGCGCCGGTGTCCTGCCGGCCGGGCGGCGTGCCCAGGCTCAGCTGGCGGCTGAGGCCGAGCGGCGCCCGGCCAACGCCATCGCCGCCCTCCGAGCCGGCGCCGAGCGTCACGTAGTACGGACTGTTAGCGCTCTGCAGGGTGCGCGCCTGCGCGGCGGCCGCGTGTCGCGCCCGCTGCCCGTCCGTGCCGCCGTGGCCCAGCCGGCCGCTGACCGAGCTGGAGCGCGGGCTGCCGTACTCGCCGTACGTGAGACGCTGGTGCTCGGCGCCGCCGCCCCGGCCCGCCCTGGAGTCGAGGCTGCCGTACGTCCGGTCGGCCGCCAGCTCGCGGCGCGAGAGCTCGCCGTCACGCAGGCCGGCCGCCTCCATGTAGGAGGGTGCGGCCGGCGGTCGCGGGAAGGGCTGGTTCAGCGCGCCGGCCTGGCCGTCGGCGTTGGCGGGACGCGGCCGTGGTCGGCCGGCGGCGCGGTTGGGCGAGGAGTCTCGGCTCTCCGAGCCGCTGTCGGTGGCCGTGGTGGCCGGCTCGGACGGGTCGTCCTGCGGCGCCGGCCGGCGGCCCAGCGCGTTCGGGTGCGGCGAGAGTCGAGAGCGGCGCGCCGGTGTCACGCGCGCCGTCACTGCCTCGCGCACTGCCGGCAGACGGCGGCGGCGGTCAGGGCACGCCGTGGGCAATGACGTGCAGGCAGGGGCGCCACTTGAACGCGGTGGAAGGACGTAGCAGAGCTTCCACGGCAACGGGCCCACCACACGTACAGCACTTATCTGACCAGGTACTGACACCTTATTTGCGAGCGGTCTCACTCTCATCTTGTTTGCACTGATCCTATCAGACCCGTGCGATAATCTGCCTGATTCTGTCACAGCTCTCACCAGCTACCCTCTCGGATCTTAACATATAATGTCACTAACGTCATGAGAAACTGAATTTGCCCAAGCTCTAACAGATAGTGCCACTTTACTCCAACAGACACTGGTGGCCAGAGGCAGCGCCACGGATTATGATTTGGGGGATAAAATTTTTTTTCGGGAGGCGTCCTGGACAAAATAGGGTCTCTTTATTCGGAGAAGGGGAGGGGTTCTGAGTGACGATATCGTAGTAAAGGGTGAGAAACACGTGTCCCTTGGCAAATTGTTACATGTATTAATATTACTTGAATAAATGTTGATAATCTAGAATAAGCAATCTAGAATAGAAAACTGCTGATCAATGCACAGATCTTCGCGACCAACCCTCCTCCCCCTCCCTATCAGAGCAATGGTTAACATACAAAAGGGCCTATTGATCCTGGCACGTGCTACCTAATCCATAAAGGGGTCTTCTGACCTAAGCAAAGAACGTCTTGCTGCGGAAAAAGTCCTCCGATTCCGATTTAGAGCCCGACGATCTCTTGCTGATGGCAGCACGCCTGTTGCGTAGTGGGCCGGGCAGTAAGGAGCGGCAATAACGGATGGCCCCTCACCTGACTTAGTCGGCCAGATGGTGAGCAGGTACTTGAGAATGGAGATCGGTCTCTGGAAGTCGATCTCGGTGCGGCCGATCTCCGAGTGCAGCATCAGCACGGGCCCAAAGCAGATGGCCACGTTCTGCGGCGTCATCTTGTTGCACTGTGCCTGGGAGGCTACCAGCCGGAGGTGGTCCATCAGGAACAGCAGGGTGCTCTGCGCGGGAGGGCGTTCATCAGCGGGCTGTGCTCTGCGCGGGTAGAGCGTCTGTCAGTGGACTGTGTTCTGCGCGGGTAGGGCGTCCGCCAGTGGGCTGTGTTCTGCGTGGGTAGGGCGCCCGTCAGCGGCCTGTGGGTAGGGCGCCCGTCAGCGGCCTGTGGGTAGGGCGCCCGTCAGCGGCCTGTGGGTAGGGCTTTGTCAGCGGCCTGTGGGTAGGGCGTTGTCAGCGGACTGTGGGTAGGGCGTTGTCAGTGGACTGTGCTCTGCGCGGTAGGGCGTTCATCAGCGGGCTGTGCTCTGCGCGGGTAGGGCATCCGTCAGCAGACCGTGCTTTGCGCGGTAGGGCGTTCATCAGCGGACTGTGCTCTGCGCGGTAGGGCGTTCATCAGCGGACTGTGCTCTGCGCGGTAGGGCGTTCATCAGCGGGCTGTGCTCTGCGCGGGTAGGGCATCCGTCAGCAGACCGTGCTTTGCGCGGTAGGGCGTTCATCAGCGGACTGTGCTCTGCGCGGCAGTGCGCCCGTCAGCGGCCTGTGGGTAGAACGTCCGTCAGCGGTCTGTGCTCTGCGTGGGCAGGATGTCCGTCAGTGGACTGTGCTCTGCGTGAGTAGGGCATCCTTCAGCGGACTGTGCTCTGCGCGGTAGGGCATTCGTCAGCGGGCTGTGGCAGTGCGTCGCGGTGCCAGCGGTGACGGCGCGGAGGAGTCTGACTAGATCAACGCCACGAGGCTCGCTGTCATTTACAGAAGACAGTGTTGTGATGGCATGGTTTTTCAGATTACTTGTACCTCTACCACTGCTTTAACTCCGATGATCCGCTTTGCGTGGCGCCTTGCGGCCGACGAGCTCGTCATGAGCTCCGTCGAAGGGAGACGGGGTTGATTCATCTCCTCAATTTTCCGGTAGAAGGGGACGTCCACAACCTAATCGAAATCACAAGGTAGTTCTGCAGCAACAAAAACCTTTGGAACGTGTTGGTGACAACAAAGATCGTTCCGTACACGAAAGTTTTAAAACGACTTAAGTGATCTTTAATGGAAAAGTCATTCAAAGTTGTGCTCATTAGCATCGATTTCCTTCTAAAGAAAGAATCCCATTCAGGTCCTCCTGAAAATTTTTTCGTTGTTTATCTGAAACCATGGGTAGAGAATGCTGATAAGCGTCTAAGTGACACCCTTGGTTCGCCAGCTAGCGCGGAAACTTAAGTTTCACCCGCGGACACTCGAATCCGAATCTCTAGAAAGTCTCTGGATCCTGGAGTAACTGAATAAAAACAGTCTCACACAAACGTAAGTATTTCCAGGTTGAGGCATGGCTTTAACAAACATCTAAATTATAAGTTAGAAGCCACATCTAGCACGTCAAATGATGCTAGAACCCGGCAGATGCCACACCGAATTGTTCTAGCTTCAACGCCCAAAACCAAGCGGAGGTTTCAACGAGTTCGCTCGGAACACTCATAGGCGCTCATAAGCGGTTACCTTTCGTTCGGGAGGTGCAGTTTTACTTGGAGTCCCATGAGGCATTCTGGATATTTTTACCGATGAACGAGGATCGTTGAAGGAAAATGCCACTCTGTGGCTACCCTACTAAAGGAATTACATGGCAAAGAAATGTCGGCCCATTGTCGACTACCATTGGCCGATGGCGGAGCGTTTGTCCTTGACTAACATATAATATTACGTTCGTCCGTTTGCCCACGACCATCGCCCAGAACAAATGCCCCTCCATCCCGTCCCACATATTTACCTGAGCACAACAGCCCATTTCCTTTCCATGAACTATTCATGACGACGTGTTTGATCACAATAGCTGTCATGGCGAGTCTCCTTAATCAGAGAGGAAACAAGGCCATTATCTGCGGCCTTCAGGGATGCGTGATGGCATTCTTCATCGGCGCTCCCAACGGTCAGATCGGACCGACCATTCCACTACTGTCATCTGCAGTCATCCACTCCCCCTAGCAAGTGCTCGGGCCCCTTGCGGTACGCACCCATAAGCACGTCGTACGCATGCGGGGTCCGCGCTCTAGGAGCGACAGAGCCGGCCGTACCAGTGAGCGGCGCAGAGCGAACTTTCGATGCGTACGCACCCGACTGGTCTTCGGCAGACAGTCCAGGATGGAGAGCATGAGCTTGGCGTTGGCGGCCGAGTCGTCGGGCAGGCACACGGACAGAGCGTCGCACAGCATCTGGTACAGACACTTGGTGAAGAGCGGCTCAGGAAGCTCGCGCAGGTAGTCCTTGAGCACCCCTGCCGAGATGGTGTGTACCGGTCAGGCTTCTCATGGCTGGGCGTCTTGGATGATTGTATCCGTAAACTCGGACTCTCTGTGTCGAGCAAAGATTATCAGATGGAGTTGACATTGGCGGGGGCTGGTTAAAGACCCGTTCTGGAAAATTAGTTGCAAATGAGCGTCGTTCGTGAACTGAGCCGGAGCTGTGGGTCCAGCATTCTGGTCGGGCAGGATATTGAGGATGATCTTTTAGGGTGGGATTGTGGGCCTAATGCACACATGTGCGGTTCGGATAGAAGGAGGGAGAGACAGAAACGCGGCCAGAGCAGCAGCGGCAACATCAGCAACAGCGGAGTGAATGAGAAAGCAGCCAAAGACACAGGAGGTGGAGGCTGGCCGTGAGCGCCCGATGCACCGGCACACTCGCCTGTGATGACGTTGATGTCCGGCACGCTGTGCGGCGAGAGGTCAGCCGTGCGCGCGCCCTCCTCCAGCTGGCGGCGCAGGGCGCGCGTCTTGTCGGCCGACCCGCACAGCCGGTACAGGCCGATGATGTCGAGGCCGCGCCGCTCCACCTCGTCCACGCAGCGCTTGACGATGAGCGGCACGCTGAGGCCAGAGCCCTCGCGCGCCACCGTCGTCTCCAGGTCGACGCCGAACAGCGCGCCGGGCCGCGTACTCGGCAGCCGCTCGAAGCAGCGCTTCGGTTCGGTGTAGCGCAGGCGCACGTACAGGCTGCCGTGCGGCTCGACCTTGAGCGCCAGCTGCTGGGTGCCGCCGTCGCGCGGCAGCGACGCCACGCCCATCGAGCTGCGGTAGCAGAGCTTGTGCCGGAACTGCGGGTCCCACGAGTAGATGAGCACGTCCAGCTGGCGGCTGGCGATCAGGTCGAGCTCGAACGTCTCGTCCCAGTCGAACACCAGGTCGCCGGTGCGGATCACCGTGCGCGCCTTGTGCACGTGGTCGCACTCGAGCACGCAGTACAGGTCGCGCAGGCGGTGCTGGCGGCCGGCCGGGCGCAGGCCGCGGCCCGACAGCAGCTGCACGGACAGCAGACCGGACAGACCGGCCTCTGAGTCGGCCGCCGAGGCGCGGGACCAGCTGTGCCGCAAAAACTCTGCCGGCAGGAGGTGTCGCGCCGGGGTCAACGGTGGGGTGTGTGACGCGTGACGGTCAGGTCCAGGCTCGGGTCGTATCGGCCACTGCGTTGTGCCATGCGGCAATGGGCGTCAGACACTGAGACACTAATGATGACACGCTAATGATGACACTAATGATGAGATCGACAGGGCCGGTGCACAGCTGAACAGCTGCGAACAGCCAGCACCAGGTTCGCCCGTGAGGCCGTGGCGATCTCACAGACGGGGCCGCAGCCAGCTGCCTGCGGAAGCCCTGTTTGCCTGCCGTGGCTGGACGCGCCCATGCTCACCGGCGGGGTTGATGTCGAGCACGGAGAAACGCGACCTGGCCTCGGGCTGCGGCGCCGGCGTCACGCAGCGCTCCTCGGGCCGGCGGTGCGGCAGCTGGGAGAGCGCATCCGGGCGGCCGGCCTCCGACGGCGGCGCGGCGCGCGGCGCGCCCGGCCGCGAGCCGCGCCAGTACTGCGGCGACTCCTGCGGCCCGCGCAGCAGCCCGTCACAGTCACGCAGCCGGTCACAGTCACGCAGACGGTCACGGTCACAGTCACAGTAGCCGGTCACAGTCACAGTCACAGTCACAGCAGCCGGTCACAGTCACGCAGCCGGTCACAGGCACAGCAACCGGTCACAGCCACAGCAGCCAGTCATAGTCACAGCAGCCGGTCACAGCCACGCAGACGGTCACAGTCAAGCAGCCAGTCACAGCCACAGCAGCCGGTCAGTCACGCAGCCGGTCACAGTCACGCAGCCAGTCACAGTCACAGCAGCCGGTCGCAGTCACGCAGCCGGTCACAGACACGCAGCCGGTCACAGTCACAAGGCCGGTCACAGTCACGCAGCCAGTCACAGCCACAGCAGCCGGTCACAGCCACAGCAGCCGGTCGTAGTCACAGCAACCATAGTCACGCAGCCAGAGCGGCGGCGGCGAACTTAAGTCAGGCGAACTTAAGTCAGCCAGTATTCGCCTGTCAGTGGTGCGACCTCCTGAACAACAAACACCAGTCAGCGGTATTCTAGCCGAAGATACTTCTAATCCAGGAACAGGAGATCATCTGTGATTCATCTGTACGTGGCCAGTCCATACTGCACAGATGATGCGTGCCTGGAGGATCCAATCATCCGTTCGTGAACGTCTTCCTATGCTCCTAAACTACATCGCCTTCAGCGCGACCCGATCTTGTCACCTGGTGCCCGGCTCCAGCGCGCACGGAGACTCCGCGTGTCACTCCGTCACGGACTACTGCTCAACAATCCCACAGTCTGGTATTGACCGCTGTCCCGTACCACCCGCCGCCCCTCCCCCTCCCCTCAGCCCCCACTGCCCAGCTTACCGCCATGTCGGCGCCGAGGTTCTCAGCGCTGTACGTGAGCGTCACACCCCGGCGGGCGGGCGGCTGCGACGCGTCCCGGTACTGGCGGATGCGCTCGTAGATGGCGCCGGTGGAGGGCGCGCGCGACAGCCACTGCTTGTAGTCGGACGTCGACAGCGATGCCGGCGCGCGCATGCTCGGGGGCACTCCTGTGAATCACGTGCCCAGTGAGACGGCAGCACGCCATCACGCGACGCCGAGCGTCCGCGCACCCGCTGCAGTCGAGCAAGTGTCGCAAATGGGAATCATTGCATCTCGATGTGCTATGCGTCACAACTAGTCGGGTTTCTCAAACGTCCATAGTCCATGCTGTCCTAGCACTGTTGGCTTGATGCCCGGTATCTGTAGCGTTGAAACGCTTGAGCGGTTGAGCCGAAGCACATCTCTTCTTTGTCCGAGCTTGCCTTTGCTCAACTGCGACTTACCTCGGCTGAATGGAAGCTCATCTCGCTTTTGTTGCAACCCACCAGTCCGTGGCTGGATCTCGCTTTTCTCAGAAAGCGGCCCACCATGCCTGCGCGACAACTCACTTCTCCTGGGAATTGACCTGTCCTGGAACGCTGCTCACCTTTCCCCTGTCGCAGCTTAACTCATCCTCACAGCAGCTCATTTATCACCCGTATCTAAATGGTTCACCTGAGACCACTCACCGCCACCCACCATTCACCAACCTCTCTATCGCTCTCTCTCCTGGAGCGCAGCCCCTCTCCGCGGGCGCAGCTCGCTCTGTCTGAGCATCATCCCGTCTCTCCTCCATCGGACTCACCTCTCCGCGGGCGCAGCTCGACCCATCTAAGCAGCAGCCTGCCTCCCCTCCGCCGAGCTCACCTCTCCGCGGGCGCAGCTCGCTCCATCTGAGCAGCAGCCTGTCTCCCCTCTGCCAAGCTCACCTCTCCGCGGGCGCAGCTCGGGCGCGCTGACGGCGCCGTCACTGTCATCCGTGTTGTCAGCCGGTCCGGCCGAGCCGTAGCCGCTGACGTAGCCGGGCCGGGTCGCCAGCGCCAGCGGCTCGCCGCGGCGCGGCAGTGAGCGGCTGCGCTCGCCGACGGCGGCCAGCGGTGCGCCGAGCCGACGCGGTGCGCCGAGCCGCCGGCTTGATGTAGCCTCCGAGTCCGAGGCGTACTCCAGCGAGGCCGTGCGTCGGCGCATGGCGCTCAGGCGCCGCATCGTGTCCTGGTAGCGCATCGGGTACTGCAGCGACGCCGGCGGTCCGGCCGGCATGGCTGGCGGCAGCGCGCTCGTCCAGCTGTCCGAGCCGTCGGCCGGCAGCAGCTGGTCACTGTAGGTGCGCGTGACGCCGCGCCCGACTGCTGTCGCGCCGCGCTGGTACGTCTCCGCGCGCGACAGGCTTCCGTAGCCGGCGCGACCGCGCACGCCGTACAGGCCGGCGGCAGGCGGCGCGTGTGCAGCCGGTGATACGAGCGCGCCCGAGAACGGCCGCTGGTAGTGGGAGTAGCCGTGTGGCTGCTCGGTCACCACCGGCGGCGGCTGGTAGGCGGCGCGCCGGCCCGACACCGCCACCTCCTGGTAGCGAGGCGGCGCGTCCGTCGGCTCGGCCATCCCCAGCCGTGCGTAGCCGTAGTGCAGCGCGTCACTGGCCGGCGGGCGGCGCGGCGGCAGCGGCGGCGGCGCCGCGCTTGCCTCCTCCGGCAGCTCCTGCTTGATGACGACCACCGGCGGTCCGTTGGCCTGCAGCGCGCCGGGCGGCGGGCTGGGCCGGCCCGGCTCGTGTCGCCGCCGCCGGGTGGTCAGCACCAGCCGTCGCGGAATCGACATGATGATCACCACGTCGTCCAGCCCCATGCCGGCCACGTCCACCAGATTGACGGCCAGCACCTCGTCGCCGACGCGCAGGCAGCCCGAGTTGTAGACGGCCGACTCGAGCGCGATCCGGGAGACGAACACGCCGTCGGCGCGCTCGCCGCCGTCGCCCTCGCGGATATAGAGGCCGAGCGTCTGGCCGGGCCGCTTGACAATCTCCACGAACTGGATCGTGTGCCGACCGTCCTGCGGCGGGCCTCCGGTCAGCAGGGGCCGAGGCAGAGGCAGAGGCTACGGCGGCACGGGTCTCCGACCGGGCAATGACCATCGGCCCATCGTCCGTCGGCTTAAGTAAGGACTAATGCATAGAGGGCAGATAATTTAGCCAGTTTACAGAAGAGTGACTGATGCAGTGACGAGGCTACCAAGGCGAGAAGACACGCCGAGCATCAAGTTGTTCCTCCGGACCTAGTGGCCTTCACGCTCCTGCAGTAAACTGCCAATGACCGCACAGCTAATACAATCGGACCATGCCGCAACGCTCTCTGGAGGCTCGACACAAATAATAAATGCATTGATCGAGAGCCCACTCTGGCCCGTCTGCCCGCGGACTTACGGCGCACCGAGGATGGAGCGCAGGTAGGGATCGGGGCGGACGCCGCAGCCTCACCTGCTGCGCCATGAACCCGGTGGCGATACGGTAGGCTTTCTTGGAGAGACGGCGGGGATCGAGCGAGGTGACCATCATCTCGCCTCGCTGCTCCACCAGACGCAGCGCGGCCGCCGTCGACGCGTCCAGGTCGTTCTCGACCGTCTCGATCTGGCGGAAGATCTCGGTGGAGATTCCGCTCACCTGCCGAGCCAGGGCGTCCCGGTCAGAGCACACCTTCGTCGGTACGCATCCACCCACCCAGGCACACCGTAGCGCAGAAGTAACACGGCAGCGAGCACCGCTCTGGACCCGGCTCCGGTCTTACTGCGCCCGGCTTGTAGCCAGACTCGTGGACGGAGGGGCAGTGCGACGATGTGTGGTATGAGCAGGCCGACTCGGGGGAGATTGGATCCTCGCCTTTCTGAAGTCCTTCTGCACCACCATCTGGGGCATGCCGAAGCCGGCAGCGCTGTCCGGCTGATCGTGCTGCTGCTGCTGCTGCTGCTGCTGCTGTTGCTGCTGCTTGTGTCGCGGTGACCTGGACATGTCGGCTGACTGTTCTGAGCCATCCTGCCAGCAGAGCGTCGACGCACGTCAGGCGGGGCTGCGCTAGACTCGCCGCCACTTCAGCACACGTTCCGCCCGCTGGCACGCGCCACGCTCGATTACCTCCGTCTGAATGAGCCGCTTTGTGGACCAGGCCGCTGAGTGGCACTTGGTGACCGGCGCTTGGAGTTATACGGACCGAAACACGCGATCGGCAAAATTCCTCCTTTGCCCACCAGTGCGCAGGCCGTCTACTCGAGCCCATCGGGACCGCGAGTACAGCACGAGCTCATGCAGAGCGAGCTCAAGCTTTTATGTCAAGGCAGCCGTGTCCGCTATCGACGGCTCGGTGCTTCCCGCTACTATACTGATTCACTAGCAGCTTGGGTTTTCCCATGGCATCCAGAGAAGGAGGCCCGAATATATGTGCGGTTCGAAATTACTTAAACCCGTCGACAAAATATGCAGCAGACGTCGCACCAAGAGATTCGATTGCGATTCTACTTGCTTATAAGAATGAGGCTGTCAATTCAGGTCTACCGTAGGGTGCCCGTATGTTTCACGAAACGTTTGTTACGACGTCTGGCTTACGAGCGAGCTATTTTTGCCTGGAATGAAATTAGCACTGACAATTTGTCAATAATAGAGGCACACGGTATGCTTTGAACAATCACAATGATCGTGCCGTACAGAATGCATTGGCTTGATGGGGATGAGTAGGCACACAGAAAGGAACGAGACCTTCATCCACAACATAAACAGTAAGCAATTTGCGATGAGGGGCACTTGGCTTCAGTCTACTAGCGCTTGTGTAAGGTGGGCACAGGGTAAATGCACAACTGCGTCTTCGCAGTTTGTTGTCTAAGCTGTCAGCGAACATACCGCTGAACATGACAGTCTACGTCCGTCGGGCTTTCGTCTGGGAGATGATTGGGCTGCTGTGTTTGGTGCAAGACTGTAGCCGTCGCCCGGCTTCCGCCGCCGGGCGGAGCGACCACACCGTCGCGTGTCAAGGTCACGGGTCACACGCAGGCCGCCCGACCAAGACCTCGGAAAATCCGCCGCGTGCATCGTGCAGTGAGGAGTGCAGGTGCTGCCTTCGTGGCCTCAGCCGGATGGAGTCCCTGCCTTTGAGCGCAGCCGCCGCCTGTCGCTAGCACGAGACCCACCTTGGCGCGTTTGGCGGCTCCGTTCCTGAAGAGCCACACGCAGGGGTTGGCCTTGACCCGGTTGAGGTCGCACACGGGCATGGCGGGCGGCGGCCGGGGCGGCGACGGCCGGCCGACTGGGGCCGGTCGTCGCCGCACTGGCGATCGAGCGGCAGCGGGCATCGATCGCCGGCGCTGCAGCCGGCCCGGCGGGCGGCCCGAGCCGGCGGCGCCGCCACCGCCAGGCACCGGCCGCGGTCAGGACCGCGCCGCGCCGGCCGCCGCCGCGCCACGGGCACCGGCCGCCTGCCCACCCGCCGCGCACGCAGCCGGCAGGCTCGCCTCGCACGCCGCGCGTACCTCTAGCTGGCGCGGGACCAGCGCACCCTTTGGACGGGCGCTGACTCCGTGCACTCATGGGACTCTGACCCACTGGCTCGTCCGACAGGCGCGGGCCCGCCGCATTCACCGGACAGCCGTAGGCCCACTACACCTCTGCACGGGCACTGAAGCGCCGCACTCGCTGGACAGACCCTGAGTCATTTTACTCATAGGGCAGGCGCCAATCCATTGCACTCCTCCCGTCCTAACAGTCTGTTATTACTAAAATAAAAAGATGATTATTGATCTGTACGTGGATGTGGTGCAGTCTGGACAGCCGCCACCTAAGCCAGAGACGCGATCCAGACCAACAAGACCGTGGTTTTGTGCAGGCACTGCTTTTCGTTTCAGCAGGAAACTGTCGCTGTTCAGGATATGGCGTGCCTGCTGGCGAAATCCAGCTACCACAATCACTGAACTGCGCTTGTGGCGGGGTCGCTTTCTAACGTGGCTCCATCTGTTTGTAAATGCGCTGTGTTTGTGCAACACGCGAGCTCAGAACTGTTCTGAAGATGCTTGAACTTTGTATACATTCGGGATTGGTTAACATAATTGATTAACAAGGCTTGGTCAACTCTTACACATCTGGGCGTGCCAATAACCACTTTGGTTATTCATCAGTGTAGATGGTAGGGAAATGTCGCTTGAAAAGCTTTAATCCGTGTGGCATGGGCAGAGGCCCTCCTGCCTCCCCACAACATCTATAGAAGTTTTACCTACGGAGCCTTTCCATCAAAGGTGGCACCATGTTGCGGAGTGATTGTCACAATATGTAAATGTGTCGTTCTCTTCAATTCCTAATCAATACAAAAGTGTACTCGGTGCAAGAATTGTGTTGACAACAATAAAATGACAGAAAGGAGAGCGTAACGCAATTCGTCCACGTTCGGCAGTACAGCCGCCTTTACTAACCGTGACCAAAGCATATTATCGCGCAAACAGCGCGGAGCACTCGTTGGCTCGCGGCGTGCACTGGACTGGTAATGTGCCCATTGAATGGGTGCTACAGTACTCGCCATGCAAGCAATGACCTGCTGTGCTAATTAGACGGACACTGACCGCCCGCACCCATCGGACAGATACTGATCCACTCACAGAGACAGGCAATGGTCCACTCCACCTGATCCACTGGACCGGCCGTGACCTGCACACGCAACGGGCAGGCCCATGACTCATTACCGGGCCAACCCTGACGGCAATGCCGGCGGCGGCCAGCCGCGCGGCCCCGCCACTGCCGCCGGCCGATTCTGCCAAGCGGCATCCGTCAACGGCCCCGCCGCCGCCGGCCGATTCTGCCGAGTGGCATCCGTCAACGGCCCCGCCGCCGCCGGCCGATTCTGCCGAGTGGCATCCGTCAACGGCCCCGCCGCCACTGGCCGATCCTGCCGAGTGGCATCTGTCACCGACCCCGCCGCCGCCGGCCGATTCTGCCGAGTGGCATCCGCCACCGGTCCCGCCGCCGCCGGCCGATTCTGCCGAGTGGCATCCATCAACGGCCCCGCCGCCGGCCGATTCTGCCGAGTGGCATCTGTCACCGACCCCGCCGCCGCCGGCCGATTCTGCCGAGTGGCATCCGTCAACGGCCCCGCTGCCGCCGGCCGATCCTGCCGAGTGGCATCCGTCAACGGTCCCGCTGTCGCTGGCCGATCCTGCCGAGTGGCATCCGCCAACAGCCCCGCTGTCGCTGCGCTCCAGACAACAGACGTGTCCGAGGAACTCACACTGGGGGCGCCGGCCGTGCCCAGTCGGTCGGGCCGCACCCGGCGAAGAAGCCCTGTCAGCGCCGCGGCACGTGAGGTCGGCCCTCCGCCAGAACGTGACGCCGAGTTGATGGTGCTCATGGATCAGCACCCGGTTAGGTCTGGGTCAGACATCGCCGGCGTGTAGGGCGTGCTCCGGGCAGCGAGCGGCGTCGGTGGCGGAGGCATGACGCAGCGGGTAGCGAGTGGCGTCGGTGGCGGAGGGATGACCCAGCGGGCAGCGACCGGCGCCGGTGGTGGAGGCATGACGCAGCGGGCAGCCACTGTGGGCTACGGCTTCGATGACACGTGAAACGAGCGGGGCAGGGCTTAGGGTGGCAGACAGCCCCATGGACCGGTCGTTAGGCATCCATCGTTGGGGAAGATGCCACTGCACACTGGCACATCACTTAGTATGCTTTTTCGGGGGCACTGGCTGAAAGAAATGCAGAAATTATGTCGTAACGTTTGGTACATTGGGTACCTAAAGCATTATTTTTAGCACCACGCTCATTTTGTACCAAATCTTATCCTGTAGGTGCCTAATGTTCTTGTCATGTAACTTCTGTATATGTCAGGCCAGACTAAAATTATTTTACAGATTGTCTACATGCCAACACCTGGATTGGGATAAAAAACAACAATTTATTGCAATATGCGGCAGCTTTTAAAAGTGCGGGGTAGCCCCCATAAAAGTTAGCCAATGTTTCCGTCGGCCTCGACGGTGGCAGGTGTACGCGTCGTAGTGCGCAGTGTTGCCCCGCTCTGCTGGAGCCACCCTCGTCCCGGTCGGTCCCGTAAAGTCACCCCACTCTACGGCCGGCTAGAAGGGAATCACGGCGGTAACAACACAGCGCTCTGAGGTGATGCTCACAAGAGACCCGTTCTCGTCCCCAAAAGGCCCCTTCTGAAGCCCTCAGCCTTTGCCTACTCTATCTAACAGCTATCGACACATCTGTTGAAAATGTTGTGCAAGCTCAGCTTTATTTTTGTTTATGGGTACGTCTTGGAAGCGTACTTTAAAAAAATTATCGCAGGCTCTTACACGCGTGTTTTAGGCCGTTTTACATAAATCCGTCATTTTGCGCCTCGGGTCACCTTCATGAATTATGAATGACATCTACTTTTGTTTATCACAAAGGCTCCAGCGACTAAGATTTTGTTCTGTGGGTTATATCCCGCTCTATGCTTTTCAGAAAAATGCGGCTGCCTTGAGATGGGAAATTATTTCTTCCCAGCAAAACAGTTTTTCAATCCACGGAATGTCTAACACAGTATTTATTTAATTCTTACTTCGAGGAGGCAAACTAAAGTGGCAGGAATTCGAGGAGAAGTTACGTTTGTTAGGTTGGGTTTGTTAGGTTAGGTTAGGCCAACCTTATCGGCTTAGCCCCCCCCCCCCCTCGTTACCCCCAATCGATTTTCGAGTTACGACCCCGCGCGCACAGGTTTGTTTCGCGATTCCGCTTTGTTTCTTTTGTTTCGGATTAAAGTCCTTTCGCTCAGTAATGACCATGCTACGCAAATGGAATGGGGGAGAGTGGCTCAGAGTAATGTTTGGGTTAAAGCCTTTTTCGGATGGATCATTTCAGGGTTATGGAATGAGGGGGAGTAAACAACGGTGGTGCAGAACTACATGCACCTGATAGTCCGCCGAGACATAGCCTGCGCAGGCACTCCTATACGGGCACGTGCTCAGCGCTCCGATGGAGTTCCGCGTGGGAACACTTAGCCCGCTCATGGCTGATGCATGCGGCTTATCCCGAATACAGGGGCGTCGCCAGGATGCATGATAAAGCATGAATGAGGAAAGAAGGACGAAATCTGCGACACTGAGCCTGGCCATTGCTACCGGGCTGCAGCACAGTGGTTCGCGCCCACCGACACCCAGTAAATATACAACCCCGTCCTGCTCTAACTTTGACTGGTGATGATTTGATCAGAGTGGAGCGGTGCAAGGCATCTGACGGCGGTCGGCCCGGCCGGACGTGTTCCATTCGGCTCCGGTTCCAGCCCAGACAAGCTCGTCCCGGACAGCGGGCCGTTTGGCTCCGGTCCCAATCGAAACGGACTCGTCCCGGACAGCGGGCCGTTCGGCTCCGGTTCCAATTCAGACAGACTCGTCCCGGACAGCGGGCCGTTCGGCTCCGGTTCCAATCCAGACAGACTCGTCCCGGACAGCGGGCCGTTCGGCTCTGGTCCCAGTCCAGACAGACTCGTCCCGGACAGCGGGCCGTTCGGCTCCGGTCCCAGTCCAGACAGACTCGTCCTGGACAGCGGGCCGTTCGGCTCCGGTCCAGGTCCAGGCAGACTCGTCCCAGACAGCGGGCCGTTCGGCTCCGGCCTCAACCCAGGCAGACTCGTCCCGGACAGCGGGCCGTTCGGCTCCGGTCCCAGTCCAGACAGACTCGTCCCGGACAGCGGGCCGTTCGGCTCCGGTCCCAGTCCAGGCAGACTCGTCCCAGACAGCGGGCCGTTCGGCTCCGGCCTCAACCCAGGCAGACTCGTCCCCGACAGCGCGCCGTGCGACGCCACCATCTACATATGCTTGCTGCTTGGCCGGAGCTGTGCTCCGCTCGATTTCGGAGATTCAGGAAAGTTTAAAGGCCAGGTTAGAGCTTGCGGCGCCGGTAGACAATATGGCGTAGCGAAATGGGCTGGCTTTGCTGTTCTGTTCCCATGAAGCTGGAGCGCAGGCTGGCCCGCGGCCAAGCCGCAGCCTGACTCCAGTAAATGGTAACTGTCCTGATTGACCCCCGTTCGACCAGGCGTGACACTTATTGAAGCTGCAACGTTCCGGCCCCGGCAGCTGGAGACTTTGCAGCGCAACTCAGAAGGCGGTGGGCCTCCGCACCTGATTTCCATCGGCCTCAAGTTTCCGACCATTTGAGTTGTGATCATGTGATTGCACATCGCTGCTCCTGTACACCCTTCTCCGGGTGTGCAGTAGCCTAAAGAAGCACACCGCTCGCTTCAGAGCCGACGTTTCCAGCCACCACGGCACGCTCAGGAGCGGAGAGACACCTCAGGGTGAGGATGGAGCCTCCTAAGATGCAATATGGATTTGGTGCACCTCTTCTGTCATGGGTGCATGCGTGACTTTCATATTGAGGGACACAATTAAGAGTTTCTCTTCGAGCGGTCCAATTTGCCGTTTTATTTCCTCATCGTTTGCGTGTAGATAGTCCATGAGGGTTACGTGCCTCAGAAGGCACGGATGGCTACGGGACTGTGGTCCTGCTTACACACGCCGCTGCCGTCTGGTACACACTGGCAGGGCACCTGGCGGCGGGACACGCACCTTCTCTGGGCCGCAGCAGAGCATGGCGGCGGCGGCGGCCGTGTGGCGTGAGTGGTTGGGCTCTCCTCTGGACCTGGCCACCATCGGACGGCGAGAGGCGGCCACGGCCGGCCGCAGATGCACGGCCCGTCAGGCGCCTGGTCGCAAGAGAGCTGCCGGACGAACAGGCAACGAAGTCACCGGGGTGCCGAGACAACGCGGCGTCGAGTCGCTGAAACCGGAAACACGGGAACACAGCGACACGGAGCACCGGAACACGGTCACGGGAACAGTGGCGGGTCGCTGGAACGTTCGTACCGCGTCAGTGGAGCATAGCCACATTGGATGCATGTTTGTGTATCGCAGAGACAGTACGCCGCGGAAGCACAGAGACCGGAATCACTGGGACACAACTCAAATCTATCGGGTCACTGGAAAACAGAGACACTGAGTCACTAGAATGCGAGATCAGTTACTCACTGTAACTTAGACACATACCACAGCCATTGGAGCACAGAGACGGGCGCCAACAGAGCGCAGAGATGCTACGTCATTGGGAGAATGAGAGCGAGAGTGTCAACCACCGGAACACAAGAGCACCGATCTTCGGACCAAGAGGACGCGATGTCAGGGAGTAGCCGCCAAGGACCGAAATATAGAGACACTAGATTATGGATGCAGAAAGGCACTGAATCACCCGCTCACAGGAACACAGGGGCACAACGACACTGAGCCGGCTGGATAGATATACATTGAGTCAGAGGAACGTGTGCAGCAGGTTACTGTCTCTGCAGAAGCATTGGCCTACCGGATCTCAGGGAAACTAGTTCAACAGGACACGACACTGAGTGACCAAACGGAGAGGTTCGCCGGAACAACAAGACACTGAGTCACTGGAGCACAGTCACGGAAGCACACTATCGACACTAAGTGATCGCGGCACAGGTCTGCCGGGCCACCGGCAGACCTGTGCCGGAGACGCTGTCACCCGAAACGCGATATGTGACGCTGGAGAGATGGCTCGAATCAACAGTAGCGCACGCTGTTTTCTGGTAGAGATTGTGCCCACCAAATCAGCATCCTCTCAATGACGTCAAAGACGACGAAAATGGAGCATCGTCTCTAATCAAGTTGTTTCACCCGGCGTCGGCTCTTCAGTGCCTGTGTTCGCCCCACGCGCAGATTCACTGACGAGCCGCAAGGGAGTGGCCGAGGGCGCAGCCGTGGTCAGTGGGCTGGCGCGTACTCCAGGCTGGATCCGGAGTGAGCCGCGGCAGCCGGTCCAGCTGCCGGCTGGCGGTCCAGACTCAGCGCCGTTTGTGCGCCGAAGTGGCTCCACCCTTCCCAGGCCCGGGCTCTGACAAGCACCAGTGGCCGTGTCTGGCGGCCGGCGGACGATTCAGCGCAGCTGCGCGCCAGCAATTTACTGCTCGGTCGCGGAGGGGTCCGGTCGGCGGCGGCCGACAGGAGCCATTAGCCCGGTGCCGAACCCGAGCCGCCTGCGCGCGACCTTTGCTGCTTTACCGGGCGCCGAAAGGTCGTTACGACTACCGCCGAGTCCAGCCGGCTGTTTCCAGCCAGATGGGAATCAATGCCGAGGCCGGATTTGCTCTGGCCGTTGGTCTTTAAGCGCTGGCATTCAGAGGAATCAAAACTAAAAGCAACTCCGGCTCGTCCTTGCGCCGTTGTTGCCACAAGGGCGCACAACGTGCAATGAAGAAGTGTGCGCCGTGCAGGAGCGGAGGGGGGGGGGGGGCGTGAGAATGTTAACTGATGCTACTGTCTAGGATATTGATTCCGATGAGCATTGTCAACGCAATGCAGTGTCCGTCTTGCAGAACTGATTAAGTGGGTCGAGGGCTTACAGAGGCATACACTCGCTCTTATCCATAAGTCACCTGCATGGTTAAATGATAAGCGGTGACGTTTGTCTGATGTTGTGATTTTGTCAACATAAAAAGCTGGCCTTGGTTAGATTTGCTTTCGTTTGTTGTGGCCGAATTCTTCTTGGAAATAAATGGAAATATCGTAAGGGATATTAGTCGGAGTGAATTGGGCCTCAGGGCTGCGCAGTTCGCGTTACCCAGTCTCTCTTGTCACATGAAAATATACAGTTGCAAATGTGGTGGCGGTATCTCGGTTATCTGGTACTTGTATCTCAGATATGTGGCAGTGCCGTCAGTTGCATAGTAGTATTGTCAAGTGCAGAGTAGTGGTATCGGTTACACCATAGCAGACACGCGTCATTATCGTCTGCCCACCGACGCATCTTCATAAACCGAAAAATGTTGAGGCGGATTAAGTATTTCATACCGTACAGTAGCCTGTGCAGTGTAGCTCGTGTCGCCTCTTGACCTGTTTTAGCTGCCGTGACCTCGTCGGCCCACCGTCGTCGGATCCTTTGTTCGTGCTGGGGTGAGCGTGGCGAGCCATACATGTCAGACAGCTCTGGCCAAGAATGTCACCCACTCTTTCTTCCAGCAAACAGTGCTGTTCTCGTGTCAAGGTGACGTCGGACAGCTGACCGTGACCCCTGTGTATACCCTCGTCTCACAGATTTTTTACGCAAGTTAACATTTTTACGTTGCCTTTGTTAATCGAATGGGGAGGCTAAATTGGTGATGCTGCAAAGTTTCAGGAAATTCAGTCCTGATCGGAAATCGGAAAGCCAGATGTTTTTCTGTTGTTGTTTTCCAGCTGTTGAACGCAAACAACTGGAAAATACTACAGCACTGCTTTTGAAGGTTTCCAGGCATTCTAACATAAACACTGCATGACCCTAATTGCTCCTGTCTGTCATACTGATTACAAGCCCGTCAACAGCGTGACGTAGCCGGCCGGGCCAGGGTATCAAAGCTACCAAATTTTCGGCTGGTCGGCTTTTGGAAAAGGTCAATTTGTAGCTTCTTTGGTCATTTTAAATATTACCCGGAATTTTTCCGCACCTTCAATTAAAAAAAAAATTCACGTGGATAGCGTTGGGCCTTCCTGAAGGTGGCCGGTACAAAGGGATGATGCGGTATATCGCCGAATTCAAAACATTTTTGATCACAGCGTTGCTGCTATTTGGGTGGCCCATCGCTTGGTGACGTACACAGATGAGTCATGCTCAGGCAGTGGTCGCCAGATACGGTAGTCATTGGTAGCCACAATAGCAGACGACTAATTCGCCCTATTCGCCACTCCATTATGAGCAGTAGGGTTATATCAACACTAAAAGTAAATGCATCTGCAGTCACGGGGTTCTGATGAGTAACCACCCGCAGATGCGCCTGAGCTCGGAGCCCCCGCCGAACGCCCGCCATGAGCGCGCACGACTGCGCCCTACTCACCCGACGGATCCTCCGAGCTGCGAGCTGAACGCGGCACGACAGGCTGCCGTCTGGCGCCGAGAGGTCCGCCACCTGTGGCCGTCACAGGGGCAGCACGTCCTGCGGCGAGCGGCCGGTGCGGCGGTGCTGGGGCGGCGTCGGCGGCCGCGCGGGCCCGCTGCTCTGCGGCCGGTCGGCTGGCGTCACGTGCCGCGCGCCGCCGCCGGCAGGGCTGCTGCGCGCCGCGCGGAGCCGGCGTCTGCCGGGCCGATCAATAGTGCCGCCGCCGCCGGCCGGCCGACGCCCCCCGGCCGGCCCCAGCCATCTCCGGCAGGTACCCAGCGAGAGACCGACGCCGCCGCGCACTCGATACGGGGGTAAGGAGGGGGGGGGGGGGGGGGGCAGCCGGCGGCGGTGGCGTGGGCGGGTGTCCGTCGGCACCACCTCACCCCCGCCGCCGCCTGGGCACGCGACGCCACGCGCAGGCGTGGAGTCCAGTTAAGCCCCTGCTGGCGTCACGTGCGGCGAAGTCGGACCACGGCACCAGGGGACCGGTGCGGGCACCATGCAGACGTCATCACCAGGCACTGTAGCTGTATGGCCTCACCCCGGCAGCCGGTCCACTCTGCGAACCTGCGAGCACAGGGTCTCGCGACAACACTGCACAGCACTGGAGCAGTCACTTGTACACACCATGGGGTGGACCGATGTGGCGGTAATGCGCTGCGGTGCCGATGTTAGCATGACGAAGCTCTTTAACCGGCTTGCCCACCGTAAGCAGGTTGCGTGCGTAGAAAGGTATTGCACTAGTGTAAATTGCGAAGACATCTCACACTGATAACTAGTGGCTTACAGCCGAACCATTGTGTTGTAGCGCAGCTGTTACCCCGGACTCTTTAATGGCGACTTCATCCGTCGTTTATCCAGCATGGCCCCGGCACCGACTGCCATGATTCCATCGGTTGTTTGTGCAGCATGGCCCCGGCACCGACTGCCATGATTCCATCGGTTGTTTGTGCAGCATGGCCCCGGCACTGACTGCCATGATTCCATCGGTTATTTGTGCAACATGGTCTCGGCACTGACTGCCATGATTCCATCGGTTATTTGTGCAGCATGGCTCCGGCACTGACCGCCAGGATTCCATCGGTTATTTGTGCAGCATGGCCCCGGCACTGACCGTCAGGATTCCACCGGTTATTTGTGCAGCATGGCCCCGGCACTGACCGCCAGGATTCTATCGGTTATTTGTGCAGCACGGCCCCGGCACCGACTGCCATGATTCCATCGATTGTTTGTGCAGCATGGCCTCGGCACTGACCGCCATGTTTCCGTCGGTTGTTTGTGTAGTATGGCTCCAGTACTGGCCATCGAGACTTCATTGGTAATTTGTGCAGTATGGCTCTGGCAGTGGCTTTCGGGACGTAATCGTTTGCTTGTGCAGCATGTCCTGGGCATTGGTCGCCGCGCATCAACATCACGCGCAGCACAAAGTGGGAAATCCTGGCGTAAAAGCCCCGGAGTTGGTGCCGCATGACGTCATTTCCACCAGCCTGTCTCAATCTCTACCAAACGAGGATAGCAGCGAATCTGGAGATTCACATGCTCGAACGGTGTGATGGTATGTTCCGATGCCTGCTCGCGCCGTTTATGTCCGAGGTTGGTACAACTCAACGTTTCATGTGATATCAGCTGATCGGGACATACACGTGCTTCGTTTTCTCCGTTTATTAACCCCACTCCAACCCAGCAAAAACTTATAAAAGTATAAAACTATCAAAGGCCAAGACACGCGTCCACCAGAGCAATGATCATCGGGCCTTCGCGAGTGGCAGCGTGATAGCACCGACACGCCAACAACAATCGCCACGACCTAAATGCGTATGCGCCCAATGCTTCGATCAATGGCAATCTAGCACCAACAGCGCCGAACTAACGGAGTCAATAAATAGATGCGATGCCAATGCCACAAGCGATGTCCCTCAAAATAGGTCCGGGTGAGTGCAGCTGCAGTGCGACACAGTTCGTGTCCACTTCTTTATCCTGAGGTATAGACGACATGACGATATTTAAACTGGACGTTCGGTTCAAGGTCGACTGCAGCCTGTCCCAAGCCCACACCCGCACATCCCGCAACCGGCGCCGCACACCCAGGAGATCAGACGCGGCGGCTGGCGGCTGCGCGCCGCGCCACCACCAAGCCCCGCACACCGGCACTCAGAACACAACGCTGTCGAGTCTCCAGCGCCAGGCACCGGGCCATAGCCCGCCGGACACCAGGCTCCAGGCGTCGGACGCCTCGCGACGCCACGCGCCAGCGGCGGCGTCACCAGATGACGGCGCGTCACTGCTGCTTGGCCATCAGCTCCTTGATGTCGTCGATGGTCATGACGTCCTGCTCTCCGAACGCCTCCTGCGAGTCGGCCGGCGCGAACTCTGGCGGCTGGTCGGGCTGCAGCGGGCGCAGCTGGCTGTCTAGCTGGTGCATCACCGACAGGGCCTCGGGCAGCTGCGCCGGCCGAGACAGCGCGTTCTGTAGCACGTTCAGGGGCGGCGGCGCGGCGGCCTCCTCGTCGCCGGCCTCGTCCTGGCTCACCGCACCGATCTGTGATGGGGTCACAGGTCACAGGACGTTTTGATTCACTGCTGTGATCTGCGTCAGGATAGTTTGTGATATATATAATAATAAACGGAATGTCCTGCAGCTCACTGATGTGATCGGCATCAGACTAGAGTCAATTACACGGCGTCGTAGCTCAGCGCGCCTTTCTCGGGATGGCCGTGTTGGTTACGTCACGTTTAGAGAGCACACTGCTGCTGGCATCGCGCTTACAGAGCACACCGCTGCTGGCATCGCGCTTACAGAGCACACTGCTGCTGGCATCGCGCTTACAGAGCACACTGCTGCTGGCATCGCGCTTACAGAGCACACTACTGCTGGCATGAGAGAAGAAAAACACGGACGTCTTCAAAGAACTTATCAGGGTTAATGAGGCCGCTGCATTTCGTTTGTTCGCAAGCGTTAGCAGTTTAATGCAACGTGCGACTGCATGCAAGCTGCGGCTTGCGCACACGGATCGGGAAACTGGGTGCTGGGGAAAGGCTCCGCTTCTTTTCAGTCTTGTATAGATCCGAGCCACAATACCCTGCGGTGCAGTGGCGGTGCTACCGGGGAGCGGGGAGGACGGAGAGAAGAGACGCGTCCCCTATCGTCGGATAGGTGGGGAAAGTCTGCTCTCCTCCAACCCCATCCTACCCCATCCTCAAAGCCTTCGTGCAGAACGCAGGTCAACGCAGCAGCAGTGCGTCACGTACATCACCTTGCCTGTATCGAATGGATTCAGCTCAAGCCACAGTCACTCTTGCCAGTAAGAAGTATGCAAACTCTGTGATCATCAAGCCGCATGTCGTTTGGAGGTTTTCATCGCCACCATAATAAATGGTAGTGTTTCCTCTGTTGTTATGTTTCGATAAGCAAACTAGAATCTTGGACTCGGGTGTCCAAGCCACATCGCAGCTGTGAGGTAAATGTGCACAAAATATCACCATGCGCAGCTTTAGTCACCGTATAAGCACACCTTTATACACGAGTATATTATATGGCCAATCGGTCCAAATGATATCTGCACCGTGTAACGAAGGCAAGTAACGAGAAACAAGTAACGGAACTTGTTTTCCGCCAAAATTGGGCAACGGATATTTGTCTACGTGGCAGAAAAAGAGGATGATAGCTGTTTGGATTATTTCTTGCCGGATAACGCACACAGGGCCAATACTAAATTTTCAGAAAGCTGTAGGCCCATTCACGGGCCCATTTGGGCTATCGCATTTGGGCTAATGGGCCCTGGCCCATTCCCGGTTTCGCGTCTCCATGCCCTACGGTGGTAGGGCATGGGGACGGTGCCTTGTGTGCCTTGCGCTACGGTGCAGCGCAAGGCACATCAGGAATTGCCCAGCAATGATCATTTATGAGAACGCAAGTTATTCAACGCATGATTTATCACCCACTTTCGTTCAAGACGTGGTGTCATGGTTTTACGACCTCGTCGCGCCACACCCACCCCCTTTATCAAAACCTGCGGCTCCGACCCTGCTACGGCGTGTCTTCAACTAACATCTACGAGGAGACGGAATGATACAGGTTTCCCGAAGCAGACCCAAGGCAGCGCCGAGTATTTTCCTGTTGGGACCGTGACACAGACAACTCTCCGCCAAAGTAATGCTGCGTTTCAACAGCATAGCACCATCACTAACCGTCTCCCAGCCGCGCACGCCCAGCTCGTCTCCCACACTGCACGCTCAGCCCGCCGGCTCTCATCGCGTTCCAGCAAGTTCAGCGTGACTGGCCAGGGCCATAGAAGCAGCTGGACCGGCACGGTCGCGGCCTGCAGTATTTTCCCGGGGCAGCCGTCCATCAAGCTGCAGCCTGGGTCGTTAACTTGCTCGTGGGCTCATTTCCTCATGGGACATATGCAGACGGCTGGGCGGCGGTACGACAGAACGTGCCCCCGGTAATGTGCTCACCTCACGCTGCGCTGTCTCTGTGCGCCCTCTTCACACGGGGGTCAGGGGTGAGCCAGGAGTGACCCAGAGGCGCAAATTCAAGGTGCTGACCTCGACAGCGGTCAGAGATTAGCTGGCCAGGCGTGCTCTGCAGTACCGAGCAGTTATCAAAATGTCTTCCGGTCTAGAAGTCTAGCCAGACGTGTCGTGCAGTACCGAGTAGCTACCAAACTGTCTTCCGGTCTAGAAGTCTAGCCAGACGTGTCGTGCAATACCGAGCAGCTACCAAACTGTCTTCCGGTCTAGAAGTCTAGCCAGACGTGTCCTACAGTACCGAGCAGCTACCAAAATGTCTTCCGGTCTAGAAGTCTAGCCAAACGTGTCCTACAGTACCGAGCAGCTACCAAAATGCGTTCCGGCCTAGAAGTCTATCCAGACGTATACTGAAGTACGGAGCAGCTGCCGAAATGTCTTCCGGTCTAGAAGTCTATCCAGACGTATACTGAAGAAAGGAGTGGCTGCCGAAATGTCTTCCGGTCTAGAATTCGAAACGTCCAAGTGTCTTACTCAAAATGTCATGCCGAATAAGAAACGAGCACGACACCAAAGAGTTTTCTGTAGGAAGCATGTCATTCAAACCGTCACCCGCCTTGTTGCGTACGGATGTTTTGCTAATGCTGCTTGTTTGTACAATTTTGAGTACAGCTGATATCAGAAGGAAAGGTCTATTGGGAGGTACTGGTTCAACGACGTTACGAAGCAAACAATGGCAAGTTTGATAAAACTTCACTCACTCAGTTATGGATTTACTGAACGGAATCGCATAAATACAACAAATGCTCGCTTCCTGATGTCGTTTACCAATACCTTCCAGTAATTTAAAGGCCGATCATCGTCAGAATAAGAGCTCCCAGCTTAAGAACAGCTTTTTAGTCTATGACATGGAGTTTTGTCAACTTAGCCGTGTTCACTTTACAAGGTATGATGGCTTTCTTTCGCGGATTTTCGATAATATATGAATGCATATTTAACAGCCATTTGATCTACAACGAGCAGACTTTATTGGTCTGATTGGTCCGGTCAGGTTTTTCGTGTAGCCGTTTCCATAGCACGGGAACCTTATAACTCAATTGCTGACCTTTTGCAGCCCATTGCTGGGAATCGCTTTGAAGCCGTCTTCGCGTTTGACTCAGCTTCTTGTGGTACATCCTGCCAGTGCCCCCGAATGTAGACTCACAGTGAGCAAATGCCAATGTAAACGTCAATCTCAAAAATCGCTCAGGCAGTAAAAAAGGTCATTGCTGACTGATAACACGGACCCAGCACGACAGCGTACGGCAGCGGCCCTTCTGTGTCGATATGAACTGTAACTCCAGCCGTCTGAGCCGAGCCGATGCAAGACGCGAGCAAAAGCTGCGCACGCAGTCTCCTGTTGACCGAGGATGTGGCCTCTGCACTAGGCTGGTATCCCTCAAAGGGGATACTGTAACTACCGCTACAAGAGGACCACGAGGTCCGGCTTGGACTCAGCGCGGGACCATGCGGGTGGAATGTGGGTGGACTCATGCTCGGCACGTGTACTGGCAAGCGGAAGCAGCTGCTCACTCCGATACCGACACGGAGCAGCGCCACCTGCATTCCGTGTCCGTGTGTGTTGCGCCACCACAGCGCGGTATCGGCGCAGTCGGGCATTCAAAGCTTGTGGGGTTAGCCGGCACGATAAAAGCGTTAACGGCAGAGCCTATGGCAGTTTGGCCGACGCCGACTGCGGCAGCGTGCCATCTCGTCCGCTTCCGTGCAGACCTCAAGCAGCGTCTCCACGTTACACCCGCGCGCACTGGCCGGAGGAGCTTACGTGGTGTCACTGGCTTCGAGTGTGGAGACGGCGCCCCTGGCGGCGGCGGCGCGCGGCGGCCACCTGGTGGGACGTGGCGGAAACCTCGTCAAGGGTGCCGGGCGCTGCTGCTGCCACCTGTCGGGCCGCCGGCTCGGCCAGCCCTGCCACGGTCGGAAGGTGGCCGGCGGGCGCGTCCACGGCCGGAGGGTGGCCGGTGGGCGCGGCCACACTGGCTGGCGTGGTGTGGTATTCCACCAGGGGATGGGGAGGGTGGCGGGAGGACGGGTGGTGGCAGCGGGCGGCCGCCAGCCGGCCGGCGCCGGCGGTACCTTGGGGCGGCACTCGTGCAGCTGGCAGTAGTAGTCGCTCAGGCCGTCGTTGTGACACCAGGTGCCGTCGGGGAAGTACGTGTCGACGCCCATGTCGTTCAGGTCCTGCCGCGGCGTGTACCACGTGCCGCTGTTCAGCTTGCAGTATATGGAGCACGCGCTCCACGGCTTGCCTGAAGAAAGGTCATTCGGTGAGCTGACTTCGAGGATAACCGTAAGCATACCTAGCAGCCCGGTGAAGCTTTGAGCTAAAGATGTGCTCCTGAAATTTCATGCGAGATCATCTGCCCTTTTTCCTCATTTTAGCTGTACCCTGCATCCTCGCGACGCCCCGTTGATCCGGGGCAAGCCACATGCATCAGCTATGAGAAGCTTAGGAGCACCCTGGTGAGCGGGCGCCGTCCGAGCGCTGAGCGCATACCCCGCACAGTGGTCCTCGTGCGGGCTAAGGCTCGGCGGATGGACCACCAGGTGCATGCCGTTAGTCTGCCCCACCGTTATCCACTCCCCAGCATCCCATAGCCCTGAAATGGTCATCACTGGCAGGAAGGGATATAATCCAAACCGAGTCAAATCATGCGACAAATAATTCCCAGTGGTGGGCTATCGCCTTACTTGTGACCCGTAAAATCATGCATTGGCTCAGATTTTCAAACTTAGGACTCTCTCGTGTTCTTAAGTATTCACCGCATTTCATATAAGTTGAACTGAGCCAAGGCACGGTCATTTGAGCGTAAAAGTTTCCAGACATTCAGCAGCAGTAACCATATCGGACGACCATGAAAGACATGTTGGAGAATGTTTCCTCAAGAGCATTGACAGCTAGTAGTCACTTGTGTCAGCACATCATCGAACAATTCTTGTGGGGCGGGGAGAGCCGTATCCAGGAATTAACAACCGGGTACACAATTCAAGGCCGCCGGAGAGCGAGTTGAATAGCGCTATGTGAGAAACAGCGTAAAATGTCGCTCATTATCTTGATCTTTTCATTTGTACGTCTTCAACTTCATTTTTTATTGTCAGTATTGGTTTCCTCACGTATTGGTCCGTGTAGTGAAGGTGATGAAGGGGACCATGCAAACATGACATCGAATATCATCGTACAATTACGTGCTGATGGAAACCAGGACACTCCCGGCAGGAGCGCTTTTATTCGTCTCCACCCATCCCAACTACGTGCCGATGGCAACCAGGACACTCCCGGCAGAAGCACTTTTATTCGTTTCCACCCATCCCAATTTCATTGCAGCTCATGCCCTGATGTTATGTGGGGTAAAGGCGTGTGTGTATGTGTGATATCGTCGCCTTGTCAGCTTACTCACTCTCAGTGTAAGGCACCTGTATGCCCACTCCACTGGACCGGATGTCATCCACCAGCTGACTGAACTCGCGACACTTCTGTGAGGCAAACTCTTTAGCCGTCAATCGGTAGTTGCAGAGGGTGTCGTCTTCGCAGAACTCCACGTGACTTGCGGCCCCGAGGCAGCGGTCCTCCGTGTTGAGCGGCTTCGGGCTGTCGCAGCGCCTCCGAGCTATGGAAACGCCTGGTGGTGGAGGCAGAGGAGAACAGTGTGTAGGTGGCAGCACTGATGACGGTGGAAAACGGCGGCGAGTGACGACGAGAACGCTAATGTATGGGATTAATGCGATGTAGAAAGGATGGTTAAGATACACAAAGAAAAAAAGCACGTGAAATAAAATCGCAGGATGAGAATGATTCATATCTTTATATCGTAAGTTTGCTCTCAGTGGTTTATCTATTTTCACTGGTGTGTCCATTTTTACTGGCTTTACAGGCAAACCACATGCACCACACCTTCTTCTGTTTTAAATGTTGCTCAAGCGGGAAAAGATCCGGAAATAAACTGGCCACGGGGATGCCAGCATCATCCGCTATGATCAGGAAGGCACCACACCAGCGTTCTCACCCAGAGCCTTGTCTACGCAGCCGGAGGCGCAGGCGGACACGTTCCACTCTCCCCACCCGCCCTGGATGACGGGCGGCGCCGGGTTGGACCAGGGCCGGCAGCTGCCGCTGATGCACCACTGTGACACACCAAAGCGCGAGTGTGATCGGACTGAGGTGCACCGGCTCCCACTGGTTCATACCGGCTCATGACGGCTCACATCGGCTCACACCGACTGATACCGGCTCATACCGGCTCATACCGGCTCATACCGGTTCATACCGGCTCACACCGGCTCATATTGGCCGGGCTGGATCAGGGCCGGCAGCTGCCGCTGATGCACCACTGGTGACACATTGAGGCACGAACGAGACCGTGCAGAGGTGCGCCGGCTCACCCCGGCTCGTACCGGCTCATATCGGCTCATACCCGGGTCACATCGGCTCACACCGGCTGAACGGCGGGTTAGCTAGCGGGCCTGCCCACCAGGGCAAAGCACGAAACACGCAGGAGAGCAAAGCACATCTTCGCCCGTTTTCAGTCAACAGCGCGCCCTGGCGGCTGGACCCCTCCGATGACGATTGCATGAGACCCTACACCAACAGTGTGATCAATAGAGCTCTCAATACCGGCGCCGCCGGCAGATGGAGCACGTTACCCGTTTGTTGCCGCAGAATGTCCCCTCTAGCGCCGGGCCAGCGTAGTAGTAGCCGATGCGGTTGGGCGACTTGCACTTGATCCGTTCGCAGCTCTCCTGAGGGGCGGAGAGCCGGTGACAGCGACTGTTGCGATGCGTCGCTCCGAGTGCGGCGATAACGCCAAGTGGCACATTGCCGCAGCTGCGGCGATTGAAAACTGAGCGCTGCGAAGTTAGTGTTCCTACGAACCCCGTCGCAGCACACGTAGCTGGCAACGCGTTCCATCGGCGGCTATCACTGCTATTATCACGGCTATCACGACTATCACTGCCACCATTAAGACATATTGTACGCGTTTAACAACAAGCGTGTCACCACCCAGAGAACGGAGCAACGTTACAAATGCATTCGATGCAAGAGGCTGGTCAAGAGCATTCGATCATCGATACTTGTCGACATCAGGCTCCACCGACGGATAACCGCGGCTCCTAACTCCGATGGTCATGGAAGCAGCCTAAAAGGGATGCAGTCACTGTGGAATGCAATGTCAAAGGCACTCTCGTCAGAACCCCAAGCACGCATGTGGCGGGCTCTCGCAGGGCCTGCTTGTTCTCCCACCGGTAGATTTCTGACGCTGAAGAGCTCGGCATCCTTGTCCTTCAGCAGCAGCTGGCACTGGTCGTAGGCGTCAAACACCTGCCCCGGCCTCTCGTGGAAGATCCTGTGGTTCTGGACGGCTCGCTTCGACGGCAGATCGTCCAGGCAGTTGGGGCTGTCGACCACAAGGCGTTTTGTGCACTTCTCATGCATTTTGATTGATCAACTAGATTGCGTCGGTCTCAAAGGCCCATGTTCTGTACCGCACAGGTATGATGCCATGACTGTTTTATGAGAAATATGTAATGTGTTTTACATAGTAAATGAAATGTCATCAGTTCTTTGTAACCAGCTCGATGCATTGATTGTCACCTGATTCTAACAAATTGTTGAGCTTTTGCTTTTTCCTTCAGAAACTTTCAAGCATCGTTTTTCTTGTTTTGATTGTTATCTAGCTTGCATCAAGCAATTCCAACTGTCGTACCATGGCTGATTGATAAATGTTACACTGGGCCCAACGAGGTGGTGGGACGTCTCCCTCACTCACGGCATATCCGCCAGCACCTGTCGACTGCAGGAGGACCAGGTGGTCTCGCCCTTCGTGCCACGGCTCGGTGACATGATGAAGCCGTTCTTGGGGCAGGCATTCCCCTGCGAGTCGTGGAACATACCCAGGTTGTGGCCGATCTCGTGGGCCATGATGTAGGCGGCGGTGAAGCCGGCTGACGGGTACGGCTTGCCCTGGCGAAGTGACAGGCGTAAGTTGTGGCAGGCTGCTGCTGCCGAAGCACGCGTTCGGCAGGTGCCGGCTGGCGCCAGGCTTAAAGGAGACAAGCGCGACAAACGATGAGGTCTTTCCTTGTTCTTCGTTACGCGACATCAGAAACGCGTATCATATTGACTCGCGTTACATGAGTTTGGCGTTGAGCGCGTGCCAATTTTCTCCGAGGCTAGAGAGCGGCGCTCGCAGAGTACGCAGCTCATTATCGCCGACGGTTCACCTGCTCGTTGGTGGTGCCAAGCTCGCCAATGACGCAGGAGTACTCGTCGAGGCAGACGCCCGATATGACGGCCAGGCCCATGGTCACTGGAGACCTGCGGCCCTTCTGCACGGCGAAGAAGTTCAGTCTGAAACACACCGTGCGCATGAGCGGCGGTGGAGCCAGCTGGCAAGGATGAGACGTGAGACCGAGACGGCAGGCGAAGACGTGAAACTGGAGCGTGAGACGCCCGTGAGACTGAAGCGTTATACGGCCGTGAGGCTGAGACGTGATAATGACACGTCAGACAGGGACGGCACGTTCAGGCGTGGGACTGAGGCGTGAGGCCGGGCATGATGAGGCCTCTCTGATGTTGATAGTGCGGCTTCAGCATGATGCATGAGGCTGAGATGCGGGACTGGGCATGCAGTTTGTGCTTGAGACTGATAAACGAGATCGAGCTGGAAGACGAAAGTCTTACATCTCAGTCTTCCCGCTCTGTGTCACGTCCAAGACATGAGAAGGGCTGTGGGGCTACTACGTGGAGCCAATTCGTGAAACTGAGACGGTAGATACGTGGGACGACTGATGTGAACAGACACACGGGACTGAAAATGACGCACAAGCCGCCTGGCGCAAACCATAATTTGGCAGCGATCCTCGGATTGAAACGACAAGCGCGTGATTTGGAATGAGACAAGAACCCGAAACTGAGACGTAAGACTGCGATACCTGGCTCGGACTTTGCACCGGTTTGGTGACAACACGGGAACAAGTCGGACGCCGCCGCAGAACCCGCCTGGGGACAGCCTGCTACAGCACACAGTAGGTCGCTGGGCAAGCGTTGGGCGCACACATTGCCGTGACTCCCGTTTGGATAGCGTTCGTGGCTTTCTCGAAAGACTTCCGGTAGACGCTTTGTTACGGAGAATTTCATTGGACCAGCGGCGTACTCACCCGGATAGGTAGAGGCCCATGTCCCACTGATTATCCTTGGCTTTCCCGTTCATCAGAGTATTGTATTTGCAGAACGAGGTGAGCAGCTCGCCCCGCTCCCCTCCGTAGTGACGCATCTGCTGGGTCTCCATGATTTCCAGGTAGTTGATGGTGATGTCCACCTTGACGCCCAGGCTCGGCAGGTAGTACAGCGCCTGGATCTGCAACACCGGACGGCACAACGACGATCACAACGGAACACACGCACCGGGAGCACCGCCACACGCAGGACCTGTGACATGAAGTGGGCACAGATCGCCGAAACGTGACAATCCGTCGATTTATCTCGTAGAGCGAGTGACCACTCAAATAGCAAACCGAGCGATAACACCAGCACTCGCCTGGTTGATGAAGCCCAGGATGAAGTCGACGAACGCGCTCAGGTCGTTGTCGAAGAAGGGAAGGAATGTTTCCCGGGCCGGCTTGTCCACGTAGAGGCCCAGCTCTAGCGTTCGCTTATTGCCCCGCTTGTAGCGGTCGAACGGCGGTGGCTGGAGAACCGGGGCCCGTGTTAAGGTCACTGCCGCATGGAAATGTGTACAGGCCTGCGACGTTTTCGTGCACATGTTTTGGGGTGTACCTCACGGCTAGATTATCCATGACAATGTTGACGTTGGATACTGAGCGATTGCGCTCGATGTTGCATTGATGTACCTATTCCTTTCAGTCAATACACTGTGGATAGCACAGCGGCCTGCAGCAGCGGCTCGTGATAAGCGATTCAGAGGTGACCGGCACCAGACGCTCGCCTTCGATGCCTGATTATTGCTCTCTCTAGTTAAGCACACCGGCAAAGTCATTTTTGCGGTATCTGAGCTTCAATAAACCGGACAGAGAGCATTCGTTCTTACCCCCTTAAACTCCAGCTCGTCTTCCCCGGTATTTACGATGTTCTTGTTTATGTCAGGCGCATTCGGATTGATAAAACCTGCAACCGGAACCGGTATTTGAAGTCAAGTAGAAACATCTGACCACCGCGCAACACATGTCCCCTAGTCACGACCGTCTAACATTTCGATATTTTGAAGAATCCACACAAGACCACCGGCTAATAGATCGTCGTTTTCCGTCGCTGCTGCAGCTCCTGCTTCTGTATGGCTTGCGATGGTCTGCAACCCTCAGCGGGCCCGTTACCCCGCGCGCCCCGCCTGGGCGTGCCCACGGCTTGGGCGATCACTGCCACCTGCATGTGTTAAACCCGCAGATAATGGCCAGGCGAGACCGGGTGAGACGCCCGGTATGCTGCCACAGGCCTCCATTGAGGTCCACGGCGCGAGGCGGGTGGGACCGTCGAGCTGAACGCTGTTCAGATGAAGCGGCAGGCTCAGACTGGGCAGCTCTGATAGACACGGACACTACCAGCGCCGTGGGAGTATACACGAACACTACCAGCGCCGTGGGAGTATACACTAAAACTACCAGCGCCGTGGAAGTATACACTAACATTACCAGCGCCGCAGGAGTATACACCAACACTACCAGCACCGTGGGAGTATACACCAACATTACCAGCGCCGTGGGAGTATACACCAACGCCACCAGCGCCGTGGGAGTATACACCAACACTACCAGCGCCGTGGGAATATGCACCAACACAACAAGCACCGCGGGAGTATACGCCAACGCTACCAACGCCGTGGAAGTATGCAAATGAACTGAACGCAGGCGTTAGGTCATTCCTGATGCTTACTGGGGTACACAAAGTCGTCGCTGATATCAAAGCCGTTGATGAAGGAGAAGACGTCCTCGAGCATGACGCGGCGGGCCAAGTGCGGGTGCCCGTCCTCGGAAGCGGAGCGCTTCCGGCGGGCCCGCACCAGCCGACTGAGCCGCCGGCTGAGCGGCGCGATGTCCAGCAGGGTCTGGCCGTCCGACACGAACCCGCGCTGTAACCCCGGGTCACAGCAGGTCATCAGAGGTCACACTCGGTCGTCAGGGATCACGCTCGGTTATCAGGGGCCATCCTAGATCATTAGGGGTCATGTTTGGCCATCAGGGACTACGCTCGGTCATCATGGGTCACGCCAGGTCATCAGAGGTCACGGTCGGTCCTCACGGATCCCACTCAGCCATCAGGGTCATGCTCGGTCATCAGGCATCACGCTTGATCATCAGGGGTCACGCCCGGACACGCAAATGTTACGCCAGGGTCAAGCTGGGGTCATTTCTGGATGGGTCTGAAGTCCCACTTGGATTAGAGAAATCACGGGTTTTACATCCGGATCAGGGAAGGCCCAATGCCAGAACAGACGGACCGCGCATGCGGATAAGCTTGTGACAATGGCCCAGCATACAGCATGAGGTGCGCCCGTCTCCCTCGGACGTCGCCTCCCCTCTGACCGTGCAGGTAAAACATCGGACCTCGGCCTGATCTGGCCACGGAGAGCAGTCCTGCGTCACACCACACTAGCGAGGCAATTTCCGGATGGGTCTGAAGCCCCACTTGGATTAGAGAAATCACTGGTTTTACATCCGGATCAGGGAAGGCCCAATGCCAGAACGGACGGACCCGATATGGGGATAAGCTTGTGACAATGGCTCAGCATACAACATGAGGTGCGCCGGTCCCTCTCGGACGTCGCATCCGCTCTGACCGTGCAGGTAAAACATCGGGCCTCGGCCTGATCTGGCCACGGAGAGCAGCCCTGCGTCACACCACACTGGCGAGGCAGTGCACAGCGCCTGGTGGGGCGGAGGCGGGGCCAGTCATTTGTGCTCTTTAGCAAACTGAAGCAGTAAATGCTCCTGTACTTTGTACTGTGCATGTACGAAGTCACATGCATGTGGCCTCACCGTACCTCCGAGTGCTGATCTCTCCTGGCATTCGACTCTCGGTAGAAGGAACTTCGATCTAATCTGATACAGAGCTGCAGCTGAATAAGCTTACGAATGATGTGCTTGCATAGTCACTTGACGGTTGCACAGACTTGCCTTAGCAGCACCGTCTGGGTCCGGGCCTTGATGACCCATGTGAGCCTGCTTCTACAGACCGTAGCAAAGCTCGCTGCACGCGCGCTCAAACTCAGGCGGTGTTAGATACGATACGGCACGTGATAAGAATCAGGTCCCTGCTCGGTGTGTTTCCGGCGGCGCGTGTTCGCATACAGAGTGACCTGCGCCGGGAGCAGCGTCCCCTGCCGCCAGGGGCCTCCGTGCCGTGCAGCCGAGCTCGGGTGACAAATGACTCACGCCGTCCGACGCTAACTAGCGCCAGATGAGGCCGCCTTCTACAGAGATGTGATGTATGATTGTTCTGAGCGGCCGGACGGCGACACGTTTCAGGTTGCGGTACCTGACGGAGCCGGCTGGTCGACGGGGTCACCCGGGTCACTGACCTCTGCGGGACGGGCTCCCCAGCAGACATCCAAACGGTGATCCCCGTACGCTTCGCAATCAGATCTTATCCACAAATCCGTGCGCTCAACATTTGATAAATACGGATTGTAAGCCGTGGATCGCGTAGATATCATGCACTAGGTCCTCCATACGTAATGCCCTACAGCGGAAATGTCCCAGCGAGTGGACAGTTGTGGGATCCAAAACATTGCTCGAGTATGCGTGATGTGCGTGCAACTCGTCTTGTCAGAAATGCTGGCGCAAAGCCTCCTGCTGAGACTTCGCTATAAAATAGACATAATGGATGGTCATGGAATGCTTTGTCGGTTATCGGAACCATAGTTGAATGTCTCAGAAAACCGGCACGTCTTTTGCAAGCAAAATATTGCGTAGTGAAAGAGTTAGATGCATACTTTTGCGACAGTTGATGCACACGCTTGAGCAAGCATTGAGCATACCAATGGTCTGTCATATATGAGTTCCTTCGAAGTCCATATACCCATCAAATGCTAATACCATAGAAATCCTCCTGCAGGTTTGAAGAAAACGAAGCATAATACAAATGCTACAGATCTAAGAACCCATACAACTACAAAGAACAAAAATGGGTCGATAACGACTTGGTGCATTGTTACACCACTAAATGGTGTTAAACCAGATTTGGCGGCTCAAGTGTATGATCCGCCTTGAAAGGGAGCATGCCACGTTTTTGCACTTTTCACTTATCGTTTGATCACAAACGTACCACTTGATCAGTAGTGCCAGCTTTCTCGAAATCCCTCGGAATAGCTCGGAGTTTCTATTTAACGTAGCCGCTCCTCCGGAAGTGATAAATGCTACGAAAGCTCGAAGCACTCTGTTTAGACAAAAAGATAAGCAAACATGAAGCTATTGTCTGACGAACTCAACGAAACGCTATACTATGGCTATGATTTCTCTCACCCTCCCCCGTCCCATTGCGTTTGGCCACAGTGGCTCTTTTCGAGACACACTGGCTTTTCGAATGGGAGTGCCACAGGGTCCAAAATGGCGCACTGGTTCAAACTTGAATCACTGTTCTTCCTGGTCACAGGCACTTGCCGCCCGCTGGACCAATCACAAACGTTCTTTTATTCACACCGGTAAAGGTGCAACGGCGGTTTTCATGACGACGGCAGTCGTGACTGCAGAGAAGAAGCGTTTTGGTGTTACAATGCTTTGACAGCGTAATTTGGATGCAAAAATAATTAAAATCGATATCCTTATTGTGCCTTGACGGCACTGCAGTGGCACTAGCTAGTGCTATTCGTAGACATAATTGGCCCTGAGGTTTCACTAGAGGTTTTTTATATGCTGCAATGGTGGGGCACTACTTTAACTTTGAATTTCGGACGTCGCCCGCCAATTGTCACTGTTGGCCCCGTTATGTTCGAACAGCCTCAACGGTTCTGGGGGCCGTTCCACTGCAAAGGCTAAGCCCCACCGTCTTACAATAGCGTCGACATCCATCTGGACCAACTACTGTCAGAGCCGGCACGGTGCCCGCCGTGGGCGTGGTGATGTGATTTACGGCAGCGGGCCGGACACAGAATCCGCCGTGACCATGTTGGTGAGGCCGCACCAGCTGTACGGGACCACTGGAGCTGACCGTACCGACTGTCCGGGACTGCAGGAGCAAACCGTACCAGCTGCCCGGGACTGCAGGAGCTGACCATATCAGCTGTTTGGGACTGCGGGAGCAAACCGTGCCAGCTGTCCGGGACTGCATGAGCTGACCGTATCAACTGTTTGGGACTGCAGGAGCAAACCGTACCAGCTGTCCGGGACTGCAGGAGCTGACCGCCGCTGTCAGGTCGGAGCCGGCGTGCAGGTAGTGGCAGTCTCCCGTACCGCGCACGTACTCTCGGGTGACATCTACCGACAGCCGCTCAAGTATTCGGCTTGTGTCGCTCAGTAGATGGCGGTTCCGCCGCAGGCGAAGGTTATACGGTCTGTGGGCAGATATATGTGTTTGAGCAATGATCACAAGTGCGATGAAAGAGACGAATGGCAGACGTAAAAGACCGTATACCAGGACGGGTGAACAAAAGAATGGACGAAACATGTCAAAGACGAATGGCAGCAGAACACTGTCTTAACCTACGGTATAAACGCAATCCAAAATGCCATACTAACGGGCTGCGTCAGTTTATGACGCATTCAACTCAAAGGGCCTCTTGCAGCAAATTCCCACATCGGTTGCCGCGGGTTATGACGAATGCTGGCCCGCGTTCTCCACAACCTCCAGAATGCCAGGGACGTCTCCCCGCAATCTCATAGACTCAGAATAGTCGAGCGCATGTCCAGGTTCTGGTGACGTGGGTGACATCACACAATCTCACACACATTACAATAACTTGGTACGGCTCTTCACGGACGTATTTAAGAGGGGCCGGTGGCAGTGGGAGTATGTTCCCCTCCCTTTTCATTCTTTCACAGATACATACATGCACGCAAACAAGTGTAAACGATTAGGACATCGAGTTAACACGTAAAAAAATCAGGAAGCCAAAACATACGCTACTATATGTCGCCTAGCAAGAGAATTCGTGCGCCGGTATTTCAGTGCAAGGCCTGTGTTTGTGGCCCGCCCCACCATCGCGAAATACTGCACACGCGGCAGCGACTCTACTAGGCGATTCGCCCCTGGCCGAGCGAGTCGGGCCGGGGCCTGGTTTTATGAAAGAAAACTAGTAATCTCGGCATTCTTGGTTGTCTTCGTATGGATTCAGAATTAAAACATCCTCGTCTAACGAGCACGTCATAATACTCAACGACTTAAAAATAGAAAGATCAAATACAGCATATTTGTTCCGGTTGGGATGCCTACACGACACATTCTAAAAGTCAGCGCATTTTGTATTTATGAAACTAGGCCCAGGTCATGCACGTGACGTCATGCTTGTCCCCCGCGCCGATCGGTGGGCCGACGATGCGGGACCTGCGGCCTGACCTGCCGGGCCGCAGCAGGCCGCGGCCGCTTATCGGTGGATGTACCATCGAGATGAAATTTTGCATCTCTTTGCAATATGAAACTTTCCACGACTATTTGTCCGTTGTTTGTTGTACTTAAAACTCCAAGCTAAACAATTTTAAACAGATCTTAGGCTGCATGCGTCTCTAGCGTCTTGAGAGACGTCAACAGTAAACGGTAACAGTAAGCGATTTCTGAACTGTTTTTCAAAGGGTTCTCTGTGCTTTGAGGTGAAAAGAGGCACGCGCATCACATCTCATAAATATAAACCTGAGGTCATCCTCGCAATCAGCGTGCCTGCGAGGTCATGCATTTACTATATCCCTTATACGGCATCGGTCATCTTTGTAACGGTAGACCAGTAACGCCTCGCGCTGCCTAGGTCACTGGTTTGAGCAATAGATGTCCGACAGGGCAAGTGCTAAAAGATCGTTCGATGGCTTTTTTAGGCGCACCGCATGCAGGTAAAATGAAACGAATTTCCCCTTTAAGGTGACGGGATATGTCAGCTGGTAACAAGTAGACAAGATATCATTGATTACTGCTAGATTTCCCCTTAAAGGTGGTGGGGTATGTCAGCTGGTAACAAGAGGACAAGGTAGCATCGATTGCTGCTAGAAGTATGCGCGTCACGCTTCTGAACCCGCGAGCCTGAACCTCGACCCTAAGTCCTGAACCTTAACGCTTGCAAGCCACCGAATTAAAACTCAGTGATGCTCATACCTATGCATTATTGAACGCAGATTTCCTAGATTCGTGTGCTGGTCTTGACACCGTCACTGGCAAGTCTAGCAACGTTCTGGCGCTAATACAAGTGTGCCTGTTAAACTTCCGGAATCGTTTTGATGATCTTTTTTCTTGTCTTCTAAAGTAGTCTGATGTTCACCGACAGATGGAGACGTATCTTCGACGAATATAGCGGTGCATCTGTCCATTACAGAACATTACCACTGGTTATCAGAATTCGTATTTGTTGGCACCGCCAATAAAGTTCCTAACTATTTAGCACACCAACAAAAAATAAGAAATAAACGGCATAACGCTTTGGACCATAGCACATGCAAAAGTTTGACATATTTGTCTGAGAAGCCCGCGTATGGGGCATACTCAGGTCACCTAAGTTCAACCGCGTCTCCGTCCCCAACAACCAAAAATATGTCACGCCGCCCGTGCCTCCAACGCATGACTGTCCAAGCTCGTACCGCGAGTGGGGCACACGGCGCCACGTCCGTGAACTCCAGGATGGCCGGGATGACGTCACCGGTGCCCCACTTCCAACCTCTCTCCTTTACCACATAGTTCTGACACGGTCATTGCTGGCCGACAGAGCCCTAACCAAACCGGCCCCGTGACACGGTGCTTCATGCCTGTCCCTTTGTTACGGGTGATTGATTGTGCGCCGAGCTGCTCTTGAGTTCATGCTCAGTATTGGACTGAGGCCCACTTAGAATTGATCGAGCGGTGGACATGACAGCGTTCCAAAGGAATTGGAAAGACCTGGCCTGCTTGCTCTTATTTCAGCATTATGGACTTAAGTAAGATCCGGAAGTAGATGTGCAGCAGCCGACATTATGCGTGACATTCATGGGGCCTCTGTTGTGGAGCCTCATTTATTCAGTTTTACGGTGGCGATTTCAAATGAGAAAGACCAAAGGCCCAAGGCCCTGATCAAGACCGCTCTGAGGATCACAACATAAGAAGCCCAGTGCAGTCCACGGGGGGGGGGGGAGGGGGTGAAGCATTCCGCGCCTGCACCGCCCGCCGCGCGCCATGGCCGGCTGGGGAAGTGCCTGCCACCGCGGCTACAGCTGCTGCCGCTCTCGGCACCTGTCGATGGGCCCGCCGGCGCCCACCCATCATTCTCCAGCGACGGCCGAGTCAACAGCGCCGGCCGGGCGTGGGCACAATGGCGCCTCTTGAGCGGCCCTGCCAGTCTGCAGTCTGCACGGTCCGGCCCCTCCACCGCCCGCCACTGGGTCAAGCCGGGCGGAGGGCGGCGGCACGGAGCCTGTCGGAAAGGCGACGCCACCGGCCGGCGGTGATCGATCAGACCGCGCGCGTGCCACTGGTGCCAGGGGCCACCGTGACACGGCTGCGCTGGGTCAGAGGCCTCTGTGACGCGGGAGGGGCCGCTGTGACACGGACTGGGTGGGCCAGCGGCCGCTGTGACACGGACTGGGTTGGTAACATGAGCTGGTTTGGGCAAACAATACCCAGATTTTAACGCCTGTGTGACCCGATGTCAAATTATTGCTGAACAATGCAAAGGTCTTCATGCGACAAATGCATTACACATTATCCGAATGGGATGTGGACAACTTGGATCCTGAAAGGTTCGGGAATCCAAGCTTTCATGACTGGTTCATGAATCTGACGGGGTGTAGATAATCTCGAAGATCATTTTTCAGAATGACCAAACATAGAAAGGCGAATTTCTATGAGTTTGTCGGGTTACTGGAATAGCGCGACAAAATTATCCGACATGGTGACCTATCTGGCAAAGGAAATTTTCGTTGAATGGCAGACTTTACAGCCGTTTTCTGATGGAATACATTACACGTTTCGCCCTACTGTAAATGTTTACATAATTGGCCCCGCCGGAGTGGCCATTTCCTAACATTGCACCCACGTAAATTTTCAAAAGTCGAGCCAGGCAAAAGAGCCAAAGCAAAATTATCCGAGGACTTGAACCAGCACAGCTGAGGTGGTCAAATAAATGTCATGCGAGCGTCTTGTAAAAAGATGCTTTGAATGC